ATATTAAAGCAATGTCCAATTTAGCCATGTATTATGAAAATGGAAAAGGAACAGAAAAGAATTTAGAAAAAGCCTTTTATTGGCAACAAAGAGCAACAGAAAGTAATAAAGTAAGTTTTAATAATGAAGCTGGATTACTATGTAATGAATGTGAACTACCATATATTGATTATCAGTGGTGCCAACAATGTAATACTAAACGATTTCAACAAGAATTTTCAAAATGGACTAGTAATAATGAATTTATTGATAAATTTATTCAAGAAGCACAAAAAAATGCTAAAAATAATTATGAAATTTTAGAGTGGATACCTTATAATAAATTGTCAAGCATTAATTATTATGATAAAGGAGGATTTAGTGAAATTCATAAAGCTATATGGTCAGATGGACCTATCTTTAGTTGGAATTTTGACAAACAACAATGGAATAGACAAACAGATTATGAGGTTATTCTTAAGACACTTAATAATTCATCAAGTTTAAATAAGAAATTTTTGGATGAGGTATAGTATATATATTTAATGGCAAATTTTATTTTCTTTTTACAAACAAAAATTTAATAATCTTTTATATTTATACAGTGGAACTATCATTATATTTGTCAGAAAAAATCATTTTCAAAATTTATTCAATTTTTTGGATTTACTCAAGATCCAAATAATTTAAATTATATAATAGTAATGAGTTATGCAAAAAAAGGAAGTTTGAGAAAATGTTTACCTAATATAATTAATTTTAAGTGGCAAGACAAGTTACAATTATTGAAAAAAATTGTATTAGGACTTAAGGTGATCCATGAATCAAATTTAGCTCATGGTGATTTTCATGATGGTAATATTTTAATGTCAGATAATTACAATGAATTATTTATTATTGATTTAGGTTTATGCAAACCTATAAGTGAAATACAAGATTCTGATAATAATGAAATTTATGGAGTTTTACCTTATATGGCGCCTGAAGTATTAAGAAGAAATCCCTATACTCCCGCAAGTGATATTTATAGTTTTTCAATGATAATGTGGGAATTTACATCAGGTAAACCTCCATTTAATCATGAAGCACATGATCATGATCTTATATTGAGTATTTGTGAAGGGAAACGTCCCGAAATTATAAAAAATACTCAAAAATGTTATATAGATTTAATGAAAAAATGCTGGGATTCAAATCCTTCCAATAGACCAACCATAACAATGCTTGAAAATATTATATCTGAATGGATTAGATGTATTGACGAATATTATAGAATAAACAGTGATGGAAATCCTACCTTTGAAGTACCTAATATTGATAATCAATTAATAAATGATATATCTGGATTTGTAGAAGCAAATAAAGCTTTAACAAAAGAAGAAGCAAATTTAGCACAAGAAAAAGTAAATACTTCTATTAAACAATCTCATCCACAAGCATATTATACAAGTCGCAAACTTACTGAAATGTATTTTCAAGAAGAATCTCAGGGTTTTGATTGTATGATTGAAGATTAATAATTTTATTATTAACTTATTATATAGAAATTTTTATATTATGTACTTTTACATACAGTTTTTACAAATAAAGTAAAAAGAACTATCCATGTGGTTGTTAATTTAATGAACAATTACGAATTATTTTTTCTCCTTTACTAAACATAAAATATGAAGTGGCTGTACGTAAAAGCACGAAAGCCAGTGTACGTACCAAATCCATCTTGGAACAATCCTATAATTATGTCTCAACTCCCAACCTAATTGAGATGATTTTTTCATATTCATAATCAACTTAATAGTAGCTTAATTGTCCGTTGTTTTTGCTTTCTTTATCAAAAAGTTATACCAATCGTAAAATTACTGCGCATGACATAAAATAATAAGCATTAAAAATTGAATTTTACTCCGCAACATAAACCAAATAGTTTTAATTCTTTATCGAAGTTTAATTTATTTAAATTAAAAATTTAAACCCTTCAAATGAAAAATATATAAATATACCTATATTAAAAATAATAATAAATTTTAAAAAATTATTACAAAAAAAATCAAAACTAAAAATCGAAAGCTTCTTTACCATTATTACGCCACCTAAAGTAATAAAACTTAATAAATATTATATGTATTGAAGATCAAAGATAAAATAATAAATAATAGAAAATTATAATAATAACAATTTGATTTGGTAATAAAGTAGCATCATAATAAAATCTAGGAGTTGGAGCATTAGTTAAATTTCCTATATTATAAACTAAATTTATCGTATATAATAAAATCATATCATTTGATATCAGGAGTTACACCAAATAAATAAATTTTAGAAAAAAAAAATGGTTATGTATGTAAAGGGGGTTAAATATGCGGTCAAAATAGAAATTGTCGATTTATTCCATAATAAAATAAATGTTTTAAAATATGAAACGAAAGATTTTCTTACCATATAATAAATTATTTGAGAGGGAAATAACGACTGAAATTGTTTATTGAAATAATCATGGCGCGTGTGGTTTATTTTGATTTATTTTCATTTTGATAATATAAAGTCATTATGCAGAAGCTACTTACATATTTTTCTATAACATTTTCCTACCGAATACCGAGTATTAAATAAATAATGATACAGGGTGAAATTCAAAATATTTACGAAAATTATTATTTTTTAAAAAATGAAAAATGACGTCAACATTTTTCCTATGAAAAAAAAGTCCGAGATTTTGAATGTTCGGGTGTTATCCGGAATTTCGGAGTATGTGATGATTCATGTTTTGTAAACGTTGATATTCTGAATGTTTTCTTTGTTCCCTGACGTTGCGTGGACGCCATGTCTTTTTTGAGGTAAACCTTTTACGATCAATGAAAATTATTATATAATACCCGCCAAAAAAAAAAAAAAAATATCAGAAAATTTTGTTTTACAAATTTTTAATTCGAAGTACACTATTAACATCTATCTATAAAAAAAAATATTAATTCATAAAAATTTTACATTATCTTATCATTCAAATAAACTGGAGTGCAGCGACGATTAGGAGCTGCGGAGCTGCCGTTAAAATAAAATAAAAACCATACCGCTGTACTCGGGAATATATATTTAGAATATAACCAGATTTATTATAAAAGTCATCTAATCTTATAAGCGGACCTTGATATTATGCACATGTTCAAATCTCAGCTATTTTAGAGCAAGCGATTACAAAATTTTATGCATGATCACATGATCAATAAGACAATAATCATGAGTCATCTCATATTGATTTTTGATCATGACGCGATTTTTGATTTTTCTATACTTTGACTACAAACTCCCGTGGGAAAAAAAACTTTGTATGACAATTTTTCATATAAAATACCTCTCCAAAATTTTTTTTAAAAAAAATCCATCTTTCCCTGTCGTTCTCTCCTTTTCCTTTCGTTTTCCCCTTTCCCTTTCGTATTTTCCTTTCATAGACCATAAATCGTCTAAATTGATTTTTACCTATATACACTGATTAACTCTTAAATTTTTTTAAACATTTTTTTATATTTATATTAAAAATTTTTTTTTCATTTATAGTTTCATCTTACTGTAACTTATGTTCAACATTTTCATAACCATTTCTTTCTATTATATTAATTAAATAAAATAAAATTAGTGTCAGTTACAGTATACTTGCTCTTGGCCAGATATCATATAGTAAGTAACAAGTGGAAAAAAATGGTGAGGGTAAAAAAGAGGAAAAATCGCAACAATAATGCCAGTTACTTACGTAGACAAGCTTTAAGAAGCGAGATAAGAAGTGATCATTATTACAGGTGAGTAGGTTTGGATGTTGAGACGAAGGTTACCTAGTCTCCGTTATTCCGTAGTTGCGATAAGGTGGTCATGAGCATAAGGGTGGTCGAGGTACTTTGGTTACTACCATATGTATGGTCACTACAAGTATACCATACAACCACGACCTGTATGGTCACTTCATAGAAAACTATATGGTGCTGCAGAGTCACCCGCTTTAGCTTCGCAAAATGCTTGCTTAGGCTGGTCCTAACATTCACATTGTATATTTGTAGACATATGGTTTATACATAGAATGTTCGTAACAAGTGGAAAAATGGTGAGGGTAAAAAAAGAGGAAAAATCGCGACTAGTATGATGTATAGACAGAAATAAAACAAGGTAAGAGACCTGTTCCTTACTGATAACACACGCGTCATCTCAGGATACCGAATCATTATAATTTAATGGTTAAATTATAATGAGGGTGCCGCAAAATTTTCTCTTACATTGCAGGACCATGATAAGGATCCTCATACGCATATTTTATTGGAGGTTGGAGGAAAGTATGTTAAGTGAGGTGGTTGTATCTGATTGGCGGTCCCTAATAAGGGTGACGTTAAATTCCTTAATTCCTATTCGTTTTCTTGATAGACTATTTATAAAATTTCCTTTTGCTAATTAATCGTTACAGTGATCCGTGTTACTCATACATCGGTACTCTTTAATTTTATAGGTATTTTTCTGGATTCTGAGTCAAATTCACGTCAATATGATTGATAAATCAATAATTTTATTATATTATTGATTTTATCTATTGCTTCCGAAAATGCATTTTTAGTAAAAGATGTACAGTATATTAATAAAATTGTTAGGGAAAATTTGCTTTGTTCAAGATTCTAAATGAATATACAAAAATGATTTGATAAGTATACTTGGTATAACCATTCAAGTTTTTATATAAATAAATTAAATTGCATAGTCTAAATTATAAATAATATATACTATGTTATGTAATAATTTCGTTCTAAAATTACAATCAAATAAACTTACAGTATTAAAATGTAAAATTAAACAATTAAATCGAACAATATTTTTTACAGTTAAAATTATATTTGGTCGTACCATTTCCTACACAAATACAGTACATTATCCCTCAAGTACTTTCTGGATTCAATAATGAAATACAATGTACACGTCCCCATCACGATATTTTACAAAAAGAACTCTTTTTTTTGCATTAAAATTTAAAACCTTTTTTTTTTTAAAAAAAAAAAAGTATGAACATTTCTCTTTTTTTTTAATACGGTAAAAACAGGGTCTTTTTTCAGTATGTAAAAAAATAAAACGTCTCACTAATTTTTCGCACGTCTTATAAAATAAATTTATTTCTCTTATTAGGTTATTAAGCGCTGACACAATTGATTAAAACATGAACTTTCTATTTTTTCTATTTTTTTTAAGATATTATGTCACGTCAATAATGTTTCAAGATATCACATTTTCTATAATTAATAATCAGTAACGCCTTTATTGAAAGTTTTCATCTTGAATGAGTCTATATGTGTCTTTTTAACAAGGTATTTAAAAATAAATTAATAATCATAATATGTAACGATCTCTTAACAGATGAAAAAGATTTTATCATTGAGAACGAAAATCATGATTTTTAATTTAATAATGTTAATTTTATTTTCCATTTTTATTTTACATTAATTAAGTAATAAGCTTAGTTTTCCAGGTCCAAAGTAAAAATTATGGAATTGTAGTTATAGAAGCTCTTGCTAAATTAAATAAAAAGATAAGTATACTTCTAACATACAAATAAATATCAAAAAATTTATAAAATATTTTTATCAAAACTACTTTTTACCAGATTTGCATGCCACAAACAAGTTTTTTTGAAGGCTGTTATAAGGAAGGTACATAATTGAAACCTCATTCGGAATCAATAGACCTTATATCAAGTCCAACAAAAAAGGCTTGAAGTAAACATGAAATACTGGTAAAATAACTATAATACATTTCTAACTACTGTGCTCGGAGACGTATTCGTGTAAACTTTACTGATACTCTTTCAAGTAATTTTCGGCAATACGATCCTTATCTCCGGAACCTCACATAATAAGATAAATAACAAACTTTTTATACAGCTATAATAAAATAAATGTACAAAATACTTAGCTTTTGAACGATATTTTCTTATTAAATAAATATACAGGTTTCATAACATAAAGAGTGAGAAGAAAAATTTTTAATGAGAGAGAAAACTAAAAATTATACGTTTGTGAGTCAAATTAATCGTGAGAAAAAAAAATTTATCCACATGATTCACATGATATATTGATATACTTACATATCAATATTGACGTAACTCATTATAATTATTTATAGTGTTTATATAATCCGTAACCGTAAATCACAATTCACGAAAAAATAGAAAAAATATCGAATATACTATACATCAATAAAACTTTATTTAATGACACTTTGCAAAAAACTTAAATTTTGGTTTTTTTTAAACTTTCTAAATTTGCTTTTTTAAATTTAATCATATTATTCAAAGGCCTTTTAAACAAAACTTTGTGATATGTCAATTATACGAAAAAATTTTTGTAAAATTCACATTAGTACTTATCCATAAATCATAATAATGGATGAACGGAACTTCTCCGATTGTAGTATATCAATATTTTTTTTTTGTTTTTAAAACAAATTTTCCTTATTATTGAAGTTTAATGTGAGGTTAAAATATTTTGGACAAAAAAGATAACTTTATTTTCATGTCCTTGGAAACTGATAAAAAGCTCCATCTATTCATTAATATATAGTTAATTTTTATTACGAAAATTAAATATTTTAAATTCAAATTTTACTCTTTAATTTTAGTTGAATTAATGGTCAAAACTTCATTATTAAAAAAACCTGACGTACAAGAAAATTTTCTATATGATTTTCGATATAAATATTTTTAATATACCGTAGCATTGTAACCAGGTATGGAAATCGACTCGTTCAGTTGGTTCTATTTAGGTAACTTCATCTTAAAAATTTTAGTCAATTTATTGATTAACTTTATTGATATGTAATTATCAATAGACTTTATATACTGTTTATTATTCATAAATTTTTTTAAAAAATGTATCTTATTGTCATATTTATTAAGTATAAAAAATTCCATTTTTTTATAAAAGAATTTTCTTAATATGATAAAACACAAATTCAATAAATTAAAATATTACATAATTTTGTGAATTAAATGGAATGTGAATGAAAACAAGCAATTAGATAATATAATTTATTTCTCAAAAAGAAAAAAGGTCTCAAATATATTAGTTTAGAAGGTAGAAATAATTAATCTTTGTACATTTTTTTTTTCTTCCTAAAAAAAAAAAAAAATTCAATACTCTAACACCACAACTTAAAAAACTTAGCCCCCCGTATTTTAGCTAGGTAAAGTATATAACTGTTAAGATGATATCGGATCATAGACTGGTAACATTTTTGAGATATAGTCTTTATATAGATTAGTTCATCAAGGAAATTACGATCAAAACTTCCTTTGATTAATTTTTTTTAATGAATTATAATAAAAATTTAGTTGCTTCATAAACAAAATGTAAAAAAATTAAAATAGAATACTAATAAAGGTAGTTTTTGATTTTTGAAATCGATAAAAAATATTGGTAAATTAATCTTTTAAATATATAAATTTTTAAGCCTATATCGTACTTGTACAATTACTCTCATTAAATAAACTTTCTTTTATGATCGATTTTTTTTTTTTTGTAAAAGGATTTTTATTTAACGTAACAAAAATTAATTTCTGTACTTTTCATGAAATATATGAAATTGGAATTGAAATTGAAACAAATATTAGTAATTTAAAATTTTATGATTACTTCAACATTATCATAAATCGTTTGAATAATTATTTTATTAGGATAAAATGTAAATTTTGTTAGATTTTTAACCAAATTTTTAAAAATTTCCTTTGTTTGGAAATGAATTTCAATTGCTGGTTTGATTTAATATTAGTCGGTCAATTTTAGTTTATTCCAATCTTCAACGCTAAGTTTTTGAGAAAGAGATTGTGAATAATCAAGTCGTTTACTGGTAAGCAAATTTTGTGATTTTTTCAGGGGTATTGGATTTGTGGCCAATTCTGCTAATCGTGCTCTAAACTTGTCTTCCCGTTCCTGACTAAATGCTTCTTTAATTTCTAGCTTTCGATCCTCAATTAAATTGTTATTATTATCCAAAACGCTAAATAGATTCATAAACTGGATACACAATTCATTAGCTGTTGGACGATTGGTGGGGATGTGATCCCAACAACGTTTCATTAATTCAGCATATGGTTCAGGTGTATATTCTGGAATTTGTGGACGTTGACCATAACAAATAGCCAAAGCCAAATTCTCATCATACTCTCTATCAACAAAAGGTGGTTCACCACTAATCAATTCTGACATTATCATTCCAAACCCATAAATATCTGCTGCTTCAGTGAATTCTTTACCAAGTAAAACCTCTGGTGCGACAAATGGTAAGACACCATATAGTGTTTTATCTGTAGAACTTTGATCCATAGGACAACACAGACCAAAATCTGAAATTACTGAACCGCCGATAGTATTATCAGAGTAAATTTTATTCAAGATGTTGCCACTGTGGAGATCCTTGTGGTAGCATTTTGATTCGTGAACAGAATCCAGTCCTTCGCTAATTCTGTTTAATATTTCTAGGATGTTTTCCCAAGTTAGATTACTGTAATTTTCTTTAATCATTTTCCTTAGATTACCACCATTTTTGAATTGAATAACAATAGCGTATTCTCCACTTTGCGGATCACGAGTCACTCCATAAATTCGAATAGTTTCAAAGCCACCATTCTTATTATTCATTTTTAGATTAGAATTAACCTGCAATATATTTAATTTATTTTGTGTAAATATTTGTTTTTATTCCTAAAAATCTTCATACATAATTTTAATATTTTAATTACCTCATTTAAAAAATCTGAGCTGACAATAGTCACATTCTGAAATTTCTTTACTGCCACTTCCTTTTTATTCTCTCGTTTCCATTCTGATTTATTCAGATCCCAAGCTTGACTACTCACGATTGGACCATCTTTCCAAATTGCTTTATAAACACTCCCAAACCCACCATGAGCAATAAGTTCAATATTTTCAAGATTTGAGTATTCAATCCATTCAATTATATCCAATCTAATTGTTGCATTAAGTTGTGAATTTTGAATAACTTTGTCAAGATTTGAATCACCGCTGGTCCAATGTATAAAATTATTGCGGAAATGTACAGAGTTGCACGGTTTGCAATAATCAAAATAATCAGAAATTTCTTGATAACATTCTTGACAGATGTACATCCTTATTAATTTTATTTTGAAACTATTTAGAAAGTAAATTGTAATGGGTGAAAAGTTGGGTTAGAAATACTTTATATAAAAAATAAAAAGATTTACATAGGACATGACCAATATATAGCCAATAATCTTATCCAACAAGTACACGTTTTTGAATGTAAATTCTATATAGAATAGTTTGCCTTACACAAAAGCTCGTCACGTTTTTCACGCACTAGGGATGATCATTACTATAAAATTAGGTGATTCAAAAATACTGAGATTTGTAAATAGATTTACTATAATTTATATGATAATCAATAAGCAACAAAACTCTCTTTCTTTTTAAAAAAAATTAACATATATTAGATTGAAAACTAAGCTTCACTCTTTATAATTTAAATAAAGTTTTATCTTTAATACATTAAAATCAATTCAATAGATTTTAAAATTTATATAAAATAGAAATTTTGTAATTCCAATAATTACAAAATTTGTTCCGGAAAGTGGGGAAAAACCTGTTATTTTTGTATTTAAATTATATAGAAACCATACATATTTTTGCTATACGGTTTTTGTCGCGTCTTAAAATGTAATTTTCAACATTATCATTATTAAAGGAGCATATAAAGCTATTCTTAGTAACACCACAATTACTATCAAATTTCCATCCAATCGGATTATATCCTCCAAGAATTTCGTTACTACACTTTAACAAATGTTACAGTATATTTAAATAAATAGTAATAAAATATCTCTATAGTAATATATGAGATTTAAGAATTCAGTTTAATAATAATTTTTTTTTTTCATGAATTAATTATACCTTGATGTATGTAGGATAAAGGTTGTTTGCACCTGCACTTTAAAGGTGTCAAATAAACATCTAAATTTTTTTTCTTCAAATTCAAAAAATGGATTTTTAAACAATTTGTTTTATTTTATCTAGAATTTGCAGTCTCGTATGGTATTTAAATAAACGAAATGGCTGGATTAATGCTTTGGAAAAAACCATCTTGATAAAAAGAATTTTCATCTTAAATTTTAAACTTTTTTCCGAATAAGATCTAAATATCTAATATTGAAATAATTTAATAAAATCTTTAAAGAAAGAATAAAGAAATTCATACTGATGATATTGAGTCATACTAGATCGGTATCATTTTTGAGATATAGTCTTTATATCATCTACACAATGGAATTGCGACCAAAATTTCCTTTGATGAAATTTTTTTAATTAATTATAATAAAAATTTAGTTGCTACATAAACATGTAAGAAAATTAAATAGAATACTAAAGAATATTGTTAATATAATATTTAATGATTAAAGGTAGTTTTTGATTTTTGAAATCAATTAAAAAAATTGGTAAATTAATCTTCTAAATACATAAAATTTTAAACCAATGTATAGAGTTTGGAACCGGTATCGGACATCGGATTTATAACCGGTTTAATCGGTTTTATTACAGCTGTTTTCATAAGACCTGGGACAAAATAAATTTTTGAACCCGACCGCCGACCCGCCGATCCGGTTCAGTTGTTATAATCAGGATCACGTGCCCAGCTAAAAATACCGGATCGGCGGATCGGGTTCAAAAATTTAGTTTGTCCCAGGTCTTATGAAAACAGCTGTAAAACCGGTTCAAACCGATTAATCGGTTTCATTCAAAAAATTTTTTCATTCATATGGGCGAATTTGACGATTATTTCAGCCAGAATTAACGTTAATTTTGGCCACATTTACAATCATTCACATTTTAAATCATAATTTTTTTAAGTGTTTTTAAATTTACTGCGTCCGCAATAGTGTCCGCAATAACGTTAAACTATTAAATAATTAATATAAAAATTTCAAGAAAGAATATAATTTCAAATCTAATATTGTGCCAAATTCCACGCAATATATTTATAAGAAAATAATAACCAATTAAAAATATTAATTTCCTAAATTGAACAACTTTATATAGAAACAAATCGCCTTTCATTAAAGAACCAATAACGTCACTACAGACTCCCTAAATAAACCCATTGTCCAATAGTTTATGGTCATTTTGGACCGCAGTCCCTATTAATAGATTACCCCAGCGTACCCTTCAAAAATGTCACGAAACGGCCGGCATTACGGTGTTATGCACTAACACGTGAAAATAAACAGTGACGAATAAGGGTGAATACGTTTCTACTTACCCGAAAAAAACTAAGTCCCTCAGATACTTATGAAAATTGGAAACAAGGAAGGGTGTGACGGATGTGACAAAAAACAGTCACGTGTTTTTATATTGTGACATTTTTGAAGGGTACGCTGTGGAAATCCTATTAATAATAAATGCGTCATACTTTATTAAAAATTTTAAATAATTGTATTTAGTTATAATAAGAAGTACAGTAAATATAAAATTTAATAAAACCAAATCTGACTAAAAACAAATTCTTTATTATTTTATTATTTTATTATTTATATCTATTTCATTATTAATATATTGCAATTGAATAGATAGACTTCCAGTACCATATTTAATTTATTTTTAATATACAAATTTTAAATAAAACAAAAAATAAAATAAATAAAATAACACTTTATTGATAAAAATTCTCTATAATGTATTTTATTATTTTTTTTAATTATTTTTAATTTACAAATTCTATTTAAAATAAAAATAAACAAAAAAAAATAAAATAAAACATATACTTTGATCGGAATGTTGATCATTTGCCAAAATTAATGTTAATTCTGGAAAATGATCAACATTCCGATCAAAAGATAGCCCATATGATAAATAAATAAAACGAATCAGAAAAAAATTTTTTTAAATATCATAATCAGTTTAAACTGGTTGAATATAACCGAATATTCGGTTTAAACCGGTTTAAATATAACCGGTTTACATTCGATTTTTAAACAAATTTTAAAAATTTCCTTTGTTTGGAAATGAATTTCAACTGCTGTTTTAACTTAATATTAGTCGGTCAATTTTACTTTTTCCAGTCTTCAACGCTAAGTTTTAGAGAAAGAGATTGTGAATAATCAAGTCGTTTACTGGTAAGCAAATTTTGTGAATCTTTCAGAGGTATTGGATTTGTAGCCAATTCTGCTAATCGAGCTTTCCATTTATCTTCTCTTTCCCGGCTAAATGCTTTCTTAATTTGTAGCTTGCGATCCTCGCTAAGTTTACTTGATTTGTTTTCGTTAAGTTCAATTGATTCATCCTCACTAATTTCAATTGATTCACTCTCACTCTCACTAATTTCAATTGATTCATCATCATTAAATTCACCATTAACTTCGATCAATTCATCCTCGATAGATTTAAATTCACCATTAACTTCGATCAATTCATCCTCGATAGATTTAAATTCATTAAAATCTAAATCTTGTAATAATTTATCAAACGTTTCTTGCAACTCCTCAGTCTTTGGTCGATTGGTAGGAATAGGATCCCAACAACGTTTCATTAATTCAGCATATGGTTCAGGTGTATATTCTGGAATTTGTGGACGTTCACCAAAACAAATGGCCAAAAACAAATTCTCATCATACTCTCTATCAGCAAAAGGTGTTTCTCCGCTAATCAATTCTGACATTATCATCCCAAATCCATAAATATCTGCTGCTTCAGTAAATTCATTTTCACGTAAAACCTCTGGTGCGACGAATGGTAAGATACCATATGGTGTTTTGTCTGTAGAACTTTGATTCATAGGACGACACAGACCAAAATCTGAAATTACTGATTCGCCAACAGTATTATCAAATAAAATTTTATTCAAGATGTTGCCACTGTGGAGATCCTTGTGGTAGTATTTTGATTCATGAACAGAATTCAGTCCTTCGCTAATTCTCCTTAATATTTCTAGGATGGTTTCCCAAGTTAGATTACTGTAATGTTCTTTAATCATTTTCCTTAGATTACCACCATTTTTGAATTGAATAACAATAGCGTATTCTCCATTTTGCGGATCACGAGTCACTCCATAAATTCTAATAGTTTCAATGCCACCATTCTCATTATTCATTTTTAGATTAAAATTAACCTGCAAAATTTTTAAATTATTTTGTGTGAATATTTGTTTTTATTCCTAAAACCTTCATATATGAAAATTAATTTTAATCACGTACCTCATTCAACAAATCTGAGCTGACATTAGTCGTATCCCGAAATTTCTTTACTGCTACTTCCTTTTTATTTTTCCGTCGCCATTTAGATTTATTAAAGTCCCAAGCATTGTCATCCTTGATTGGACCATCTTTCCAAATTGCTTTATAAACACTCCCAAACCCACCATGAGCAATAAGTTCAATATTTTCAAGGTTTGAGTATTCAATCCATTCAATTAATTCTGATGGACATGTTGCATTAAGTTGTGAATTTTGAATAACTTTGTCAAGATTTGAATCACCACTGGTCCAATGTACAAAATTATTACGAAAATGTACAGAGTTGCACGGTATACAATATTTATAAAAATCAAAATCATCACTTCGACCACATTCCTGACATTTAACCATCCTTATTAATTTTATTTTGAAACTATTTAGAAAGTAAATTGTAATGGGTGAAAAAGTTGGTTAGAAATACTTTATATAAAAAATAAAAAAGATTTACATAGGACATGATCAATAGCCAATAATCTTATCCGACAAGTGCACGTTTTTGAAAAGTAAATTCTATATAGAATTTTTTGCCTTACACAAAAGCTCGTCACGTTTTTCACGCACTAGGGATGATCATTACTATAAAATTAGGTGATTCAAAAATACTGAGATTTGTAAATAGATTTACTATAATTTATATGATAATCAATAAGCAACAAAACTCTCTTTCTTTTTAAAAAAAATTAACATATATTAGATTGAAAACTAAGCTTCACTCTTTATAATTTAAATAAAGTTTTATCTTTAACACATTAAAATCATTAAAATCAATTCAATAGATTTAAAATTTATATAAAATAGAAATTTTATAATTCCAATAAATTAAAATTTGTTCCGGAAAGTGGTGAAAAACCTGTTATTTTTGTATTAAAATTATATAGAAACCATACATATTTTTGCTATACGGTTTTTGTCGCGTCTTAAAATGTAATTTTCAACATTATCATTATTAAAGGAGCATATAAAGCTATTCTTAGTAACACCACAATTACTATCAAATTTCCATCCAATCGGATTATATCCTCCAAGAATTACTTCAACTTTAACAAATGTTACAGTATATTTAAATAAATAGTAATAAAATATAACTCTATATTAAATTTAGGAATTCAGTTTAATAATATTAATTTTTTTTTTTTTCATTCGTTATAAGTTTATTATAAATAATTAATACCTTGATGTATTTAGGATAAAAGTTTGTTTGCACTTGCACTTTAAAGGTGTAAAATAAACATTTAAATTTTTTTTCTTCAAATTCAAAAAATGAATTTTTAAACAATTTGTTTTATTTTACAGTATCTAGATTTTGCATTCTCGTATGGTATTTTAAATAAACGAAATGGCTGGATTAATGCTTGGAAAAAAAACCATCTTGATAAAAAGAAATTTCATTTGAGATTGAAACTTTTTTCCGAATAAAATCTAATGCTGAAATAATTTAATAGAAACTTTAAAGAAAGAATACCGATGAGATCGGGCATAGACAGAATATTTTTTTAAGATATAAGTCTTCATGTAGATCATTAATTTTTATATTCATTGTGATTTTTGAATAATTTATGATCTGATGTTTTAGTGAATGGCAATAAATACATGTCTCTGTAATTTTAAAATAAGCTCTAGTTGAAACAAGGATTGTGAAATACAATACAAATTCCAGTAATCACTTTTCTAATGAAAGAGTCATAAGGATTGGAGAAAAATACAAATTCCAGTAATTACTCGAATCATGGGGTCAGAGAACAATATAAATTTGACCCATTCTAAAGAACCCATCTCATCCCTTTTTCTACATGAATTACTCCTTCTTTTAAGATCCTTTAGCATCATGGTATGAAATAAAGAAATTAACTTTCCATGACGAGTGTTTCATTCAGAAATAGGTATTTAATGTCGTAGTTGCTACCCGCTTCAAATAATAATTTAAGAAGGGCATCATTTGCATCATTTTCTGCTAATGGACCTATTTCTACAACTTTTGACAACAATTCTTTTGTAATCAGGAGTCCAGGTGATCTTATATGAGAAAGGACCAGTTTAGGTGGACAATTGTCACCTTCAATTAAAGTATTTTTTGGGTTTAATACTATTAAATTGAGTGATTGTCAATTTAAGCATTAACTTTCATAGTGAATACAATAACATATACTATCTGCTAATGAATTTCCCTACATCGTCAGAAAATGTATATTCGACAAACTGTACTGTATGGTGCTTATCTGAACATAGACTAAAATCTGGAATTGCTGTCTTAATAATATCAGAATAAGATGTATCATTGTGGAAACAAAAAGTTTGGCAATAAATAAAAAAAAAATTACGAATTACTCATCTTTAATAAAAAATCAATAAATGAAATAATGAATCTATATCTATATAATTCTATAATTAAAAAAATTCATGTGTAACCGGTAACGTTTAGATTAATCTATCTGCATAAATATTACTGAATTGTGATTCGTCTGCACGTATGGGAATTCTAATCATTCGACGCACCTGACACACCTCGTTTGACATAGGTTGGCGATTATTATGATTTGAATAATTTGATTGGCTGTGGGGTCACGTGTACGGTGTACGTTCCGAACATTCAATCGCTGCTGCGGTCGATCGCATCATTCGCCTCACTTTTGAAGATCGGATCTTTTTTTTTTAATATTATTCTTTTTTCGGTAGACCGGATCTTTTAACCGAAATTTTAATAAATTTTAATATTTTTCATTCCGGTTTTTTTGAAATTTTTCATTTATTTTTATACATATTTTTTTTATGAATTTTTATCTTATTTAAATATTTTATTGTTATATTGATTTAAACCCATTTAATTCTGTTGCAACGCAACAGGTTACAGCTAGTATTATATAAAAAAACCATCAAGATAAACATATTCGTTGGTTTGTAAAATTACGTTATACTTTAATAATTTTTTTTTTTCATATTTACATAATTAACAATAAATATTAATAAATTCCTTTTAATATGAAATTATATTAAACTTCATTATTATTTTGAGTTCAGGAATTGTACATAAAAATCGATCATATTTTATATAATAAAAAAATATATATTTATGTATGATATATATTAAATCACATTCAATATGAAGATTTCGATTAGTGAAACGTGGCTTTTATAATTTTATCGATCAATCAGTTTTTTTTCGCTGATTAAAAAATTTAAAAATAAGTTTTTAAGTACGGTTATTTGATTATGTATTTATTACGTGAAATTTTTAATTATATTAATTTTAAGAAATTCGAACCTGAATCCGTTATTACTTTACTATAATAAAAAAATCCTTAAAAAAAGAATGATGGCACAGTAAAATTTTTAGTTCCGAATTATGATAGGGTCCTTTGCAATAACATTTGATTAAACAGATAACGAATTCTAACGTTGCTAAAAAAGAATTAAAAACACTATTAAAAAATTATAACGAAAAACTAATCTGCAAGATAGAGTTAATATTAAATACAAGCATCATTTATGCGCAGTAGCTTATCTGAGATTATTTTTTTAGTTTCAGAAAAAAAACACTGTGGCATTATTGTGATCGTAAAAACGTTAGCATCCTTTTTATAGCGAATTTTCTTTAGTGTGGTACGCATTTAATCATATGAAAAAAAATTGTTACACCGAATTTTACTAATAAAATGCAGTATAACGTTGAACGAAGAAAAACTTATAAATTCGTGACCCCTTTTATAACGAATTTTTTTTTTAATATAACAAAGATTTTTTCAAGATAAATATTAATATAAAGGGCAGCTTGATACTAATTTTGTGGAATTTTTCTCAAATAAGCAATTTTACCACTTTTAATTCATTTTATCAAAAGATGGATGATTTATGTTTCGAAGTTTCCTTTGCCTCATGAACATGACATGTTTTGATTTTCCTCTATTTACTGCATTATACCAAAATTTTTCGTTATACCGAATAATTCGTTATAGCATTAACGAATTTTCTCATAACGAAGGCCTGATCGGCTTGGACGCCTACTTCGTTATATCGAGGGCCGACTTTAAATATTTTAAGTTTAAAAATATATTGTAATAAAAATATTAGATGCTATCATTTTAAAATTTCTATTTTTATTGAAAGTAGAGCTCATACTCAGTAGTCAGTACAGATTACACGTACACAAAATAAAAAACTTTTAAAGAACCGTATTCATGTGATCTGCTGATATTCACGTGATGATGTATTATTCGTTGTACGTTTAAATTAAATCGTTAAAACTTTAATAATTGGTTGATAATAGAAAGTTCTCTAACTTTTCTCTTATTATACTGCATATCCTTCCTAATAAAATCAATAATATTCAAAGTTAAAATATTAGTCGTTCTTATTTTGGATTTTGTCCATACAAATGGAGTTTTGGACTTTATGAAATCTTGCAGGACTTCTCCGTATTTTTCCGATAATTCCTTTTTTAGTTTAGGTGCAAATATCGATATTATAATCAAGACTTGGCAGTTGACACTTTGCTGACACTTGGCAGTTTGTCAGTGTAACTTAGTTTTTTATAAAAATTCTAAAAAACTTTTTATTTGGGCGTTTTATGCTCGTGTAAATTTTTTTTTTAGCCAATAAAAAAAATTTGAAGCAGGTCATCAACGGGTCTACCCAGTGTTACACGTAACGTCACTACCGACATTACGGAGAAAATTTTAACAAAAAATTCCGTATTTCATATCATGTGTACCGGTATCTTATGTATTATTTGTTTGCCGATCCTATAATGAATTTATTCCGTAATCAAAATTTAGGAGAAAAAAAAGATTATGCAACAATGAAAAAACAATCAGAAATGTTTAAAATTAAAAAATTCTTTTTTGTTTTTTTTTATCCTATTGCATTGCCATTCTATTCAGAAATGTTAACTAGAATATTCTTGGAAACTTCTTAGAAGGGTCGTACTAATTAATTTTGATTTATATTTTTCCATTTTTAAAATATTTTTTTTTTTTTTTTTGTATTTTTAATTTATTACATCTTTTTTTTATTATGAAAAAAGAAATTATTTTATAAATAAAAAATTCTTCTAGACGTCAGAGAAAGAAAAATCCTGTATTTTTTAAAAAGAAAGTAATACAAGAAAGTTTTATCCCATTTTAGTATTAGACTAATGCATAATGCACATCAATGTCCTTTGAAAAAATGAATAAATATAAAGAAATAAAACTCCGAAAAAAAATTTTTTTTTTTTTTATTTATTGTCCGAGCANTTTTTTTTTTTTTTTTTTTTTTTCGCTTAAAATTATCCCGTTAAAACCCATTAAATTGATTATATACACATATTAGATTAAATATGAATATGAATAAAATAAAAAATAAATTTAAAGGTAAAAAGCGTAGCAAAGATGATGATGATCAAGCGTCGGAACACCTTCCTCGTATTAAAGTTACTAGAATAGACGAGCCACTGTGTATGGATTTAGATTTTTCAAATGTTTATCAACAACAACAAAACATTTCAACTCCGTCCCCATCATCTCCTTGTCCTTCACCGTCATATTCGACATATTCGAATTTTTCGACAATTTCGACACATTCAACATATTCGAATATGAATATGTTTAATCCAATGTTTAATAATAATAATAATAATAATAATCAACAATTATTTTTTTTTCCACAAGAAACTAGTTTGATCCCAAATTATATTCCATCTCAAGAAGAGAATGAATTAAATAGATTTAAGATGATGAGTATAGATAATATAGTGGACTTAACTCGTGAAAATACTTCTGATACAGCTGCTAATATTAATTTAATGGCAACTTCAACTTTTAAAGGAGTATGTAGTGTGGCTCAAAATTTTGGTGAATTTATTCCACTTATAGATAAATTTATTAAATTAGGTGAAGAAGTTTTACTCTTATATGAAAAAGCAAAACATAATAAAGAATTATGTGGGTTTCTTTTAAATAGGTGTAATTGTGCTATGGCCGCTGTAAGAGATTTAAATATTAGAAAAACTGAAAATACGGAATTTTTTTCAAAGGAAGAAAATTTAAGGTTATTTAGAGAATTTATTAGATGTATGGAAAAGATAAGAAAGTTCGTCTCACGTATTAGTAAATTACATAAACTTCTAAAATATTTCGCTGCTTCTAATATTGAACAAGATTTTAATGATCTTATATTAGAATTTGATGGATATATGAGAAGTTTAAATTTTTCTTTTATTGTACAATCTAGGGATGAAATATCAAAAATGAGAAATGATATTAGAGATATTAAAGATATGTTGATAAATGTTTATGGCGTACCTGATGATAAACAAGCCCTTATAGAATTTTCAAATAGAATGGATCAATTAACTATGAAAAATATAAATTTTCAAACTTCTGCTAGACATGCGATCGAAGATTCTTCTGAAATAGAAGCAAATGAACCTTTACTCGACGGTACAAAATATCAAAGATCATATATACATACAAAAAAGATTGAAAAACGTACATTATATAGTAGGTGTGAGGAATTTTGTTTTAAAGAATTTGCAAATAATACTTCTCCTCCGGATCAATCTCAATTTGAAATTAGAAGACAAGTAAACATTTTAAAAGAACTGAAAGATTCTGATCATATTATTAGATTTTTTGGTGTAGCTCACGAAGATTCAAAATTTTATTTGGTTACTGAATGGATGGAATTTGGAAATTTACATGAATATTATACGGATTATAGCGAAATTATCGATTGGAATACTAAAATTAAATTTGCTTTAGATATTTGTCGTGGTGTCGCGTATCTGCACGAGTGTAAGGTGAGCTAAATTATTACTTTTATTCATAACAATATTATTAATTGTAATTTTTTTTTAATAAATTTCTTCTTTCTTTCTTTAGATTCTTCATCATGATATTCAATCAACAAATATTTTAGTAAATAGAGATTGTAAGGTTAAGATAGCCAATTTTGGTTTAAGCAAAAAATTTTCCGACATTACGAGAAATATTACGCACAATCTAGAAAATATAAGATATATGGCGCCAGAGAAATTATTGTTAGATAATGATGATGATCGTAACAATCATAATGTAAAAAAAAAGAAAGTTCCATACGATTCTAAATGTGAAATTTACAGGTAATATATTTTTATGACGCCCTTTTTGTATATTGATATACAGTATACTAATATATATATATTTTTATTTTTTAAAAAAAAAATTATAATAATAATTATATAGCGTTGGAACATTGTTATGGGAGATCGCTGAATTGAAAAAACCTCATTCTGATCTTAATAAAGCGGACATGCTTGTTAGTATCAGAAAACGGGTTAGTGAAAGGTATTCTTTACCATTTTCAAATGACGTACCTATTGAATGGAGATTTATAGTAGCTAGAGGTAATTATTATTATAATTAATTAATTTGTTTATACATTGAAAAATCATTCGATAATAACAAATATTTTTTTTAAAAAATATTTTTTAAGCTATGGAATATGAACCATCGTGGCGTCTTAATATATCTGATATTTGTCGTGATTTTTACAACCTCAGTAAAAAATATCAACAAAAATCTCTGTCATATGATTCTTCTATGTTTAATTTTGAATTTAATGAATCTGGTTGTTTTGATGAACCAATAATAATAGATGATGATGATGATAGTCCAAGTAATCAAAATCAAAATATTATCACAATTACGATTCTTTCCGTTGATGATGCAATTCGTGAACATAAATCCAAAAATGGTAACAAACGATTAGCGTGGGAAAGTTTCAAGCATCATTCATCGACAAGTCTTGAAGCAAAATATTGGTTAGGTTATTATTACTTTCATGATAAAGAAATTCCCGAATTACTACAGATTGATAAAAGAATAAGAATTAAGACCGCAGTGGAAATATTTAAAGAAACTGCGGATAAAGGAAATCCTTCCGCTCAATTAAGATATGGAATATGTTTATGGCAAGGTGATGGTGTTAATGCAAATTCTTTTGAAGCTCTTAAATATTTAAAAAAAGCAGCAGGTTCAGGAAATTCTGCTGCAATGTTTATAATTGGGAAAGCTTATTGGAATGGTGGTAATGGTGTTGTAAAAGATAGAAATCAAGGTGCTGAATATTTAAAAAGGGCTGCATTAAATAATCATCCCAAAGCTAAAGAAATGTGTATCGAAAATAACATTAATTATAATATATAGTAAAAGAAAAAAAAAAAAATTTTTTTAATTATTTTTTATGAACATTTTTCTTTTTCTTTTTCTTTTTCTTTTTTTTACTTTTCCGTGTTTTATATATGTAAATTTAAATAATAAATTATAATATTAAAAATTGACATTATTTATTTCGTTTCTTTAATGATTTACATAAAAAATTTTCTCGAAATTAAATTCTGACCAATAAAAAAGAAAAGATAAACACGTTAATAAATCCGAACAAGAAAGAAAAAAAAATATGTACTTGTATATAAAAATTAATCCCTTAAATTTTCAAAATTCGTCGAATTTTTTAATGTAATAATAATCATAAACAGTTAAAATATTAAATATTAATAAAATAAACTTTATATTGAAAAATTCCAAAAAAAAAAAATAATAATAATAATAATAATATCTAGTTAGTTATTTTGATAATATTTCAGAAAAAAAAAATCAGAAAAATTTTTTTGTAAAAAAAAAAATTATTGGTAAAATTAATTCCCGACCCTGTCGGGATACTTTTCTTCTCAAAAATTACAGTACAGGATAATGTAACTATGATACATAACAGAAAAGAGGAATGGGAAAGTAATAATTGTAAATAATCCAGGATTAACTTCACGCTGATATTTAGCTACTCAATAGTTTCTTGGAAACCGGAAGTAAACTTATTAACAAGATGACAAGTCGGGGTTCCTTTAAAGTATGTAATTCGTGTAAAATAGTTGGAACTGCAGACCCTGATTCTTCCTGTAATGAATATCGGAAAAAAAAATTAATAAATAATGATGATTATGACAAATTGAATTTGATTCATATTATTTAAGACGCATCAATCTTCTGCAATCAAACATTTATGATTCGCATCATAATTAAAAAGATTCATTGTGTGATAAATAGCTTTTTCTTTTTTAACAAGAGTAGTCCAAGATGTAAGGTCATTAGCAATACTAAATAATTCAGCTCTTCTAGCATTATTAGAATTTGTGGCGCAGAATTTAAATCAATTCGTGCATTAACTTCACGATAGTGCTCTTGCCCTTTATCTGAACTATATACAGGATATAGTCATTATAGTATTGCACCCAATGATTCAATGACAAACTGACACACGAAAAATGAAACGATATTAAAAAAAAAAAAGAATAAGGCGAAACGTTGAAAATGAAATCATTTAGACTAAAAAAGTGAGACGCGAAAAATGAAAAAAAGAACAACTAAGAAGACGAAAAACGAAAAAAAAAATGGATGATATTAAGAAAAAAAAATAGACTAAGAAAAGGAGTCGTGAAAAATGAAATGTTATTAAAAGAAGCAAAAAAACGAAATAATATTAAAAAGAACGGTTAAGTAAGTAAGAAATTAAAGTGAGTGGTATGAGACTAAGGAATTTTGAAGCGAAACGAAATAACATTAAAAAGAACGACTAAAAAAAGTGAGAGACTAAAATAAAATGATATTAGACTAGACGTGAAAAAATGAAACGATATTGGAAAGAATGACAAAAAGAGAATTGCGGGGAATTGAAAAGAAGGATGATGAAAGTGATGATATGCGAAATACGGGAAAGGGAAAGAATGGCCAATTAGCTATGTTTTCCTGTAGATTAAAAACTTACATTATTAATATAGTACTAATATAAGATACGATTTTTCGATAAAAAAAAATGCAATAAATACCTTGGATCGAAGATCGTACAGTTAATTGTACCAACACTTGGTTTTTTGCAAGTTTGACACTTTTTACTACAGCGAGGATATTTAGCTTGTATCAATCCATCAACTTGTCTCAAATAAATTGTCCCAATTGCATCATTATGATCGTAAATTGGACTTATAAACTTTGGATAATGGCAATTATGATTGGGAATGTAATAATAATGTGAGCTGTAATAATATGAGGCTCTTATGAGAGGAGTTACCCCACAATCTATAAAGCGCTGGCCGAAATTTCTAATGGCTAATACGTCAAAGGTAAAAGGAGGTAACTCTACGTATTGTTTCTCTTTTATATTATAACAATATACATACGCTTCGATATTACTATCCACATTACTATATAGAAAGTGATGTCCTATTACAAGACAGTCATTTTGCAAATTCAATTTACTTATTACAGGTACCCCCAATAAAGGGAGTTTGCTAGAATAAGGATCATATTTATAATTCAACAATTTTTTTGTTTCATGACTGTTCTTGTCTTGTTCTTCAAATTTGACTTTCAGGTTGGTTAACTGGTAATCGTCCAGATATATACAATCTGGATATCCGATTACCATCCAGCCAATTTTTAATTTATATGATTGACGCATTGAATTATGTTGAATATGACTGACTAAAATACTTGGAACTTCATTGGTTTGACGAAGAACACTGTACGTAAATAATTCATCTTTGTTCTTTGGCTCCATTTCAGAAATAGTTGCAAAAATATTGCAATCTGCGTCTTTGTTTGTTATAATACTCAATATTTCTGATGGAGCTTCCATCAATTCAACTTTTAGAGGATTAACATTTGATAGATACTCTATTCCTTTATATGCAGAATACAATACTTTTTTACCAACAAGTTCTCTGACTTGTGCACGCAATTCAGTTGGCAAAGGTTGGAAAATACTGATCGTATCTTGATATTCAATTACATCCCAAGCTCTGAAGTCTTCATCAAGAGATTTAATCCAAGATTTCTCATTAAAATTATCAAGACTTTCTGGTGGACTTCCTCCAATTATTTTGGTATATTTAAGATTCATGCGATTTGATTTTTTTTCTGAAGACTTGGGAGCATAGGAGCCTTTTATGTTTGCATATCCAGTTACATTAACATTTGCAGAAATTTCTTTGTTATCCTCTGTGACCCGTCCAGCTGATACCTCTACATTTTCATAATAGACTCTTCCACCTAAGATAATACTTGTTGGGATAAATTGCCCATAAACTTCTGTTATCCTAACAAGTTTTTGAGGATCTTTTGAAGTTATAGCACGCCTTATTTCATCAACAAATTCGGGAGTCGGTTCTAAATATTCATCCAATTTTAAATTCATTTTTCCATAATCTGCACAGATATGTGAAACATTTTCTTTTAAATTTAAATTCAAACTCTTTGATTTTTCAAATGAAATTCCTAATTTTAAATTTACAAATTTATTAATGTTAGCATCCCCACTGGCAAATAAACTTGTTTTCAACATTTTGTCCTCACTTGAATTATAACTAATCTCTTTTTTTATACATTGTTTAGTGCCAGTTTCAATCATTTCACAATCTTTGATAGTGAACGCTTTTTTTTCCACTTTTTTAATTTCATCAGTGGACTTTATACACCCGTATTCTAATTTGCATTTTCTATTAAAGAACTTCAAATCAGGGTATAACCTTACATATAAAATATTGTTTCCATTTTTGTATATAACATCATTTAAAGAAGTGGTTTGTTCCTGGTTACGAAGTACTTCAGCAAATTTATCTTCGGAATACCTTTTTAAAAAAAAGGATTCATCATTAATAATGTCTTCCTTAAGAAGCTTACTACGAATATTTTCCAAGTGATCGTCAACATTTAAAGAAATAAGTTTAGATGTTTGCGAAAGTAAATTACACTCAATTATTACTAATGTTTCTTTATTGATGGTACCAGAAGTATCTTTGGCAAGAAGGGAAAACATTCTTTTTTGAAAAGCAATTTTTTGACAGTTTTTGAGATATCTTTTTTGGATTTTATTTTATTTTTATTTATTTTTTTTTTTGCAAATTTTTGCACACATCTTAAATAATTTTCACAACCTTATATGTAAAATTATAATAAAACCATTTGCGTTGATAAGCAATCGCTACTTTTAGTAATTAATGCCACAAAGGTCAATACAAAATTCTCAAAGTTCGTCTAATTTAGACAAGAAAAACAGAAAAAGATGTTGAATGATTAATATGGTAAATAATTTGCAACTTTGGATACGTGATAATCTCTATACAAAAATAAATGCGGGCGCGTTTTATTATATTTGACCCTTAGGAATTTCTTTATTAGTTTAATAATAATTTTTCGAATCATTACAATATTTCCACTAAGTAATAGTTATTTCACAGATATCAATGATTTTCACGGCGCAGCTGTGAAATCATATTCCGTGAAATAATTATATATATTATATTGTATTACCGTACCGTATATTAAAAGGCTTATCAAACTTATCAAACTTTACAATATAAGGAATTCAAATAAAAAAAGGTTCATATATGAAATATAACTAAAACTCTTCAATTGTGTAACTTTTAAATCTTTTAATATCGATATTAATCGTATTATATTAAATTATCAAAACGCTTATATATTTATCTATTAGATTGACCTGGTGCAGTAGTATCTTTCTGACTGACACAACAATATTTCTTTATAGGAGAGGGAGACGGCCAAATAATCCGGTATGGAAAAGTTATTTATGATCGCGACTAATTCATTTCCAAACATGGCTAGCAAATATCACGTGATTTCTCGTCATACAAACCCTGAAGTTACAAAATCGTAGTAACTGGTTTATCGTACTTATTAATCACCAGAATTAGAATTAGTTAGTTTATTTGTTTTTATTATTTTTATTTTTGTTATATTATTTTATTATATATTGTATTGTTTTTATTAGTTAGATTTTATAGTATTACAATAGATTATATTGTTGGAATTATTAGATTATTTTAGTTAGAACTTTATACGTTTCTTTTATAATTAATGATTAGCTGCTGGATGAGCATCGATTATGTAAGCAGGACGACTAGTCCATGGGACGAGTTGACCCGATGTACAAGTTGACGAATAGTCAAGTTGTCCACTGAAATTTTTTCGTTATATATATCCCTCAAAATTGAGGAGGGAGAATGCAAGTTTTAGAAAGTTTTTGTTGTAGTTTTAAGTTCTTAGCGAATAGATTTTCATAGTAAAAGTTGTTCGGCAGATTTTACTATCAAGAAAATTTGTCTGAAATTTTATTACAAAGCCAATAATAACATTTTCTTATGATTATTAACGTACATCTAAATAAAATTGATCGCGTCATATTCTTTTTTTCCTGAAATGAGTGAATTGACGCATAAACCATCAACATTTTGAACCCTGTATCCTGTGATTAAAGTAAACCGGTAGATAAATTGTCAGGTCACACATAATCTATGCACATGACCCGGATGATGATTTTCGGTAAATATATATACATACTTTACGGATTACAAGCCGCACAAATAAATATTATTTAATAAAGCAAAAAATTAAATGTTTCAAATATCTTGTAGTTACCGAAATACTGAGAATAATTATCCGGATCACGTGCACGATGATCGTGATGCTTCGTCTCTGTAAATACTGTATTCGTACTATCCTATTACAAGTATTAATAACTAAAACTACACGAAATCAACTAAAATCGACCACTATTCCACTGCCATTTCTTCCATCTTTTAAATATCAGTAAAATTTGGTCAAATGGCCAAATTGTTACTGGCCATTTGTCGATTGGACCATTAGCTAATCCGATCAATACATTTCGCCGAAACCCATCTCGCCGCCAAAGGGATGTTTCGCCGAAGGGACGTTTCACCGAAGCCATTTCACCGAATCGTCCATTTCGCCGAAAGTCATTCCGAAAATTATAGAAATGATAGCGATTATCACTTTTATAAAAATATTAATCGCGCAATGAAAATAAAAAATTTTTTTTTTATTTATTTACTAAATTAGGCCACACAAATTCAATTTTTCGGTTCACGTAACATTGAAATTTAAAATCGACCCGGGGACCTGGGGTTTATTGTTTATTAGTAAAAGAAGTTTATATATATAATCGTGACATTTGATTGGTTGACTTTTAAAAGGAAGGAATTTATTTTCGCTCTAGAAGTTCTCAGCCGTGATAAACTTACTCGCCAATAAAATTACGTCCTGATCACATGATAATTTTTTTTATATATAAACTTTTTTTTATTGAAATTTGAAAAAGTGACCCGGCCGGGTGAAGTGAACCAAAAATTCGAATTTGTGTGGCCTTGAATATACAAATGACAAATATATAAAATAAAACTTCGACGTTGAATAATATCTTTGATTCTTGATTGAGTACTTAATATTTTCATTTTTTAGTTTCTATTTTACATTCTTTTGCCACGTCACCTATTTTTGTAATAAAAATGAACGTTTAAACAAATTTATTTTTAATTGACTTTTCTTCTATGATAATATCACTTTAACATTCAAAGTAACTGATATTAATTGTTACGTAATAAATAAATAACTTTATTTTCCTGAAAACGTTTAAATATTCACGAAAAAGTAATTATATTTTGTGTGTTATAGTCTTCATAGTCTTCTAATAACATATAATGCTTGTATGCACAAAATATTTGTATAATATGTTTATATATTTATTTTTATATAATTAAAAAAAAAAGTGTGTGACTAGCTAATCCATGTTCTTTATAGTTAAGACTCGCTTGATCGGCAAGTCATGTTGTACATCTTTTACATCTATATAATTAAAAAAAATTTGTCTGACGTTTGGATTAGTCTCCGTATAAATAATTTAAATAATTTGAATTGTGTAGCTTGAAATCTCATGCCATATAATTAAAACCCGTGACATGTCTCCGCCTGATCTATTTATAGTCAAAAACTATTCGATTCCAATCAACTAATCCAATTTCAGTTAATAAAATTTTACCTTAATTTTTTTTGATTATTAATTTTTAGGTTTATGTAATTTTTTTCCCAAACTGAAAAAATTATATTTTTTTTATTAAATAATCCCCCATTGTTTTGGTCTTCGATCTTTTTTTTTTAGGACCGTATTGTTATCAGAAATTTCCCTTTTTTTTTAAACTGATTTCTTTTTTTTATCCTTTTTCTTCCCCCAAATTTTTTTAATTTTTTTTATTATTAAATAAAAAATAAAATATTATATTAAATATAATTACAAAATTATTATTTTTTTTAAAAGAAAATATAACATATCAGATATAGGAAAATTGACCGACGTTGATAGAAAGATGAGTAAGATATTTTCAATTAAATTGAACGCTGGATAAATAGTTTGATTTTTTCAAATTCATAAAAAATCAAAAAAATCAATTAATTAATTATAAAATATGTAAAAAATATCAATTTTTTAATAATAGATCATTATAACCAAATCCATATCCGAAATTCTCTAAATAACTACCAGATTTTTGAATAAAGATTTTAATTCTGATTTAGTTAAATTAAGTACCAAAAGAATAATAATAAATGAAAATGAATATATTCTAATACATTTAATTATTCAAATATTTTTTTTAAGTTGGTTATAAGTTTAAGATTGACGTAATATAAAATAAGAAATAATTATAAAGTTTATAATTAATCAAAAAAATGAGGGTGAATGAAAAAATAAGGAGAGTAAAAGGGAATAAAAGAAACGAAGGGGGAGTGAGGGAAAAACGAAATGGAGCAAAGGGGAGTGAAAGAAACAAGAGGAACAAAAAAAATGAAGCGGGAAAATGAAAGGAACGAAGGGTAGTGTAAAGGAATGAAAAAGACAAAGGAACGAAGAGGAAATAAAAAAACAATGGAAAAAATGAAGGAAGGGAAGAATAAAAAGAGCAAAAGAGATGAAGAGACAAAAAGAAAACAAAAAAGTGGAGAAGGGACGAAATGAGATAAACAGGGGGACCAAGTAAAAACAAAACCCATAAAACTAAAAGAAGAAATAAAGTAGTAGGGAACGGAAATTACATGTAATAAATAAACAAAAACAAAAAAAATAAAAAACATACCTTAGTAGTTACAAAGAAGAACCGAAAGACAAAAGAATGAATTCAAACAGCTCATTAATTAGCCAATAAAATTTAATGTACAAATTTAATAATGAGGTGATATCACCAGGTAAATTATATAGGTTCAACCACCCTAGGTGAAAAATTATTAATAGTAATAATTTAATACATATTAATTTATTATTTTTTGTTAACTAATTATTACCATATTAAATTCCTAATTATAAACAAAAAACTACTGTAACCATCTTTAATTTACTTAGTATTACATTTATAATACTAAATTTTTCTACTTAAACAAATTCATTGGTCCCGGTGCGAAGCAACGGGTGACTGCTAGTATATTTTTAAGAAAAAACTGATGATCGATTTTCTTCAATTAAACAGAAAATCAAAAACTTCAAAATCAAATGATAATTATAGGCTAATGTTCGCTACTAATCAGTGATCTTGTTCCTCAATTACAGTACATTTTTATCCGCTTTAATGAAAGTATATCTTAATGTGTGGTATCTATTACAGTATCTATATTCCGACTTCTCTACAATGGTGCTGCTGGGAACGTAGGATATGTCCAACAAATATGAAGGATTTATTGGTGTAAACCTTAGTAAACTGATTTAGTATATTACTGATCCTTCTTCAAAGTATACTTGAAACTAATGTCCAAATAAAAATTATTTAAATTGAACTAAGACCCGATTAAAATAATAAAAAATCTACTTTTCATTTCCCCAAATTTTGTAAAAGTACGATCAACGAAGCGCTAATGAGATTATCTTTGTACTTTATGTGTATTTTTTATTTTTTAATTTTTAACTAAAATCAATTAGCGAATTATAAATTTATTTTATTAAAAAAAGTAAAAAATAAACAAGGCATTACTAAAAATACTAAAAAAGATGAAACTAAATTATATATATATTAATTAATTGATACAATAATAAAGAAAAATAAGCTACAATAAATGAATATAAAAATAAATTGCTCTTTTTCAAATGAAATACATGACATTTTGCAACTTGGGTTCCACTGTACTTAAAGTTATTTTCCCCGTAGATGACGATGATGACGATTCTTTGAAATTGTCGTCACGTAAATGAAATCGACCTCGTTTACAAGCAAGATGGGCATAATAAACGGAAGGAACTATGGAAACTGCTCGAGTACATCGTGCGTATGTATAGCACAGATTATATGATAACGTTTGAAGCGAGTCTGAAGTAAAATTGTTTTCATCGTATAGAACGTGATAATGAGTAGGCCGACACGTTCCTTGTAACCCAGCTTGACTTTGTAAATAAAAATCAAATTCTACAGGATGAACCACTTCGGTCTCTATAAGGGTCCCAGGAAGACAGTTTCCAGTTCGGTCTGAATCTATTCTGTCAATTGGAAAAAATCGTGCGTGGTGGCGCTTTTGTACGATAACAAATGTAATTGTGGGTGAATATTCCTGTTCAAGAGAGTGGCACGCGGCTAATTATTAAGATAAAGAGGTTGAAGATAAATAAATAAATAAAATTATTTTATTCATTTATTCAATAAGTAAAAATAAGTAACATATAAATTATAATATATACATACATTTGATTGCCCTAATTTCTTCTTCAAGTACTTGTTTAAATTGATATTCTGAAACACCATCCCTGTAAAAAAGAATTCGTTCCGGTTTTCTTCCACAAGTCTGGTAAAAAACTTTTAGTGCATCTTTGACCATGTTAGTTAAATCAGAAATGATTTCTATACGGGGCATGTGTTGCATTCTTATTGAAGCAGCATATCGAGAAGCTCCGGAATCCACGGAAGCACAGAGAGCAGCAACCGAATAATAATCATCTGAAACGCCTGGGTGTGTCACGTCAGCGCCCATCAAAATTGAAGCCTTTTCATTAAGGAATGGATTTTGTCTTAGAGTAAGGAAAGAATTGACCCCCCCAAGTTTCGCATTAATTTTAAGACAGACATTGGAATAATATTGATTGCTAGCTTCCAACAAATATCTACTTTGAATACATTGAGTAACTACTCCAACGATTGTATCACCTACGTATTTGATAGTTCCATAAAGTTGAGAACTAGTATTTGGTAGTACACATATAATTAATTGTGGTTTTGAATTGGCGGCATGTCCAGCACGTAACCATGCTTTTTTTAAGTTCTCTTCAACATTGCCTTGAGCGTTCGCGTGTAGAATTGGTGGGCTCTTATTGGGAATGTTCATACCAGCAATCGAACAAGCATCAATTAACTCTCGAACAAAACGTTTAACCGAATGTTCATTATCTGTTCCAAAGACTAGAATCGACCATGAAGTAAGTATTGCGCCTGTAGCGAGTTTCTTATCCTTTAAATCCCATACTCCATATTCAGGAACGATCGAACTATAACGGTAATTAATCGTGGGTGTAGGCAATATTCTAGCTTTTACAGTGGCCATTTTATTCGACACTATCATGTTAAACTGAGTCATTTTTTCACTAGCGTAATCAATCTCTTCAACACCTCTCATGATTTTGGCTGCACGAGAATGCGGCGATTGATATGTAAGTTTAATTATTTCGGCAGTCTGCCTGTCATTAAGTTTTCGAAAATAACGTTGATTCTAATAAAAATTAAATAGTATTAAGTAAAAATTATATACAGTAATTAGTTGGATTTCTATAAAAATAAATAATAAAAATTTACTTACTTCAATGACTTCACATACTTCCATTGGAAGAAAAATTCCCTCTCCAGCTATAACACAAGGTAAATATGGATAATCAAGGCATTTATGAGATTTTTGAAAGTATGAAGCCACATCAATTATGTCACCGTCCGCATCATAAAATTTCGTTTGTTGAGCACTCAGAGAAGTAAATTTTAAAATACGATAAAATTGGTTGGTTTTACGATGAATAACTCGAATTATGTAATTCTTAAGCTCTTTTTCAAGTTTATTACGTTCCCTTTCATTGATTCCTCCACGCAAGTCATTAGTACTTCGTTTTTCAAGCAATTTAACAACAATATTGATCAAAGGACCGCTTTCACAGAACGCAGTCGCAGTCAAGTCTACATTAATCATCATTTTTCCTGTGTAATTAGAATGATATATAATATGAGCATAGGAAATAGTTGTAAAAGTGAAGTATCAAATAATTATTACCTGGTGTAGGTCGTGCGGATTGATAATACCCTTGCCAAGCTTCAGCGATGCCGGTTAAATTTATACGTCCATTACGTGTATAGAAAGATCTACCGCTGGGAACATAATTCACTAAAGTTTGATGTTTAATAAGAGCATTCACAAACGTGATAGCATTCAGCACGTTTGGAGTACGTTTAGCCTTGCCAACCAAATAACGCTGCAATTCATCCATATTAATTTCGTCAATTTTTTTAAGTCTGATTTTAAGAGTTCTTGGTTCGCGTTTTGTCAAAATTGAACGACTGTCAACTTCTGGAAGAGTAATATCAAAAGTGGCGGAATCTTTGAGAGGAAGAGGTTTGCAACTAAATATATTTTTATGCCCATCAAAAACGAGTGGAGTATTTTTTAACTTCTTACTATGCGAATCTTCAAATATTTGAAAAACCTTCCTAGTTAATAAGAACGGAACATCAGGTGTAATAGTTAAATCATAGTGATAAATGTTCGCCTTAGGAAGTGACGTTATTTCAAAGAAATTTGTATAAACGTGAATTTTTCGACCCTGGGTACCTAAGGAAGGTCTTTTATTAACTAAATATTCTTGTTGTGCACCCTCTCTAACAAAGTTTTCATCCGTTAATGTATGTCTAACGATTAAGTCTACACAACATTCCTCACTTCTATTATCAATTTTCAAAACTTTATAATCTGAATGTAAAACACAAATATTTACATCCATAGTAACAGTTCTATTGTCTACCATAGATACATTGTTATCTCTGAATATTTGAAAATAAATGAAATTTTTCGACCAATTAACGAATTTTAAACCATGGCCTAAAAATGGATAGTATATATTAGCAAAAATGGAATCCCCTTTCGCCAATTGATGAGAAGTTTTAATTGGATAATAAGAATTATCAATGCCAAGTCGTACTGTAACTTGTGTTTTTATATAACTAACATGTAATTCTCGATTCCTTGGACTAAATACTTTTAAATTTGAAGGAATTCCAACAATTATCCATGAAACATAGCATTCTTTGATATTAATATTTGATTCTGATAGTGGAATTATCTCTATGGAGAATGCATCATAGCAGTTTGCATAAAATTTAACGAAGAAATTCTCCATTCTTGTATTATCTTTTGAGATAATTGATCCAAAAACTACAAAATTATTTCCATTAAAATTAAAATGCACTTTTGTGCTTATATATTTGCGATAAATTTTATTATCAGTTGAAACTAAATCTTTCAAATCATCAATTCCCGTCAGGATAATTTTATAATTGTCTTTTATATTTAATACATAATCTATTTTCTTTTGTTGTTCTAACTCAAGAAGACGATGTGTGGAAATTATGTTATCCAATTCAACAATCTCCAAATCATCATTTGTATATTTAGATAAATAATTTGATAAATTCTCTACTTCAACACATTTATCACCTTTCCCAAGAAAATATGTAACATTAAAATCAACTAAATATTCCTTTAAAGATTCAAGTGGATTTGCTCCTAAATCTTTCTTTCCAACAAGAGTTTCTGAGTCTTTAGCAAGGTAGGCGATTAGTAAAGTATGTCTGTATAACTTTCCTAAAACTATTCTTGTTGGAAAAAATTGTCCATATTCATCAAATAAATTTTGCAAATCTGTAAATGGCGTCATGCTTTCAATGGCTTTTTCTGCAGCTTGTTTAAATTCTTCTGATGGTTTAATGGAATTTAAAGAAATCACATATTGTTCACATTTAATCATAAGATGTCCTAAACTTTGCAACTTTTCAACATCTTTAGGTGTGATTACCCCTTTAACAAATTGAAGAGATTCCACATCCTTAATTGAAAATATTTCTCTAGAAATAAATAATTCTTCCAAAGTTGTTGTAGGAATTGCAATTTCCACATAAGTTTTATTAATTATATCTATATCAGGGATATTAACGAAATTGAAAGCAATTTTGCTACTATATTTTGATGTGAAATTTTTACTAAATATTAGACCTTGAAGAAGATGAAATTCTTTAATCCATCTCATTAAACTATAATGTAATGAATTTCTAATCCACGTTTCTAAACTCATTTTCTTTTTAAAATTAACAACTCCAGGTTGTTTTCCATTTGCAAATGATGAAATATCAAAATTTAATTCAGAGAGAGGAATTAAGTCATTATAAAAGATCACGTCAAGTTCTTTTTCATTAAGTTCTTTTTCTTGATATAAATTATTCATCCACTCGATTAATTCTTCGGGGTTATTTAAGCTTTTTTCATCAAATGTTCTTATTTTCGGAAAAAAATTTAAACTGAAAAAATCATTAAATTGATTTTTTACGATAGATTTTGCTGAATCAAGCGCCCAAATTAGAAATAATTTAAAAGTATAAATTTGTTTTGATGTGAATGATGAAAGATTATCAATATATAATCTTTGACCAATTATAAATCGTTTTGAGAACACCAAGTGGTCGTACATTCCTTTCTCATTATTTGAAAAAGATTTTAGCGAATCAACATCATTAACATTAAAAGTGAATTCAATGATAGGAAGATCAATACATGTGTCTGATGGTTTTAAATCTTCATTGAAACTTATGAAATTTCTATCATTTATTGAGGTATATACTGAATGTTGAATATCTTTATGAAATTTTGCATTTTTTAATTCAACACTTTCAACGAGTACGGCAGCTTGTTTACCGAGTTTTATGTCATATCCATCAATGAATAATCCATGATCCAATTTATAATCTTTAAGTATTTGATGCCCAGTATATGTAAGAATTGCCGTAACAACTTCGTGAATTGTTGGTCTCATATCTGGAACGCCGTTCCAAGATTCTATAGAATTAAAAAATATGGTTTATTATTTAAAACTGTAATATTCGAATGCTTTACTATTAAAATAATTAACTTACTTGTGTAAATATTGGAGTATTCTTCAGGTGTACCCTCTACTATATTTTCTCTTAATCCTTGTGCAATTTCTTTAGCCAAATTAGCATCATATTCTCTATCAGAAAAAGGTATTTTTCCACTATACAGTTCCCAAAGTAATACTCCGACGCTATAAACATTACATTTTTTTAACTTTTCTATTTGTTTTGATGAGTACCACTTTTCAACTTTAATATTAAATACTTCTGGAGCGTCATAAGGTAATGTATCATATGAAATTTTGTTTTTGTTTTTAATGCGTCTGCTTAAACCAAAATCTGATATTCTTATTGAATCTTGATGTACGAGTATATTGTTTGAATTTAAGTCTTCGTGTACTACCCCATTATTATGCATAGAACGTATTGCATTTGATATTTCACAAGCAAATCTGCATTTAATTTCCCAACCCATTAAAGAAAATCTCTCGTTTAAATAATTACGAAGTGTTCTCCCTTCCGTATAACTCATTACTAATAAACATTCGTCTATAATAAATAAAAATAAATATTAATTTTAGAAAGTCTTATTGATATTAATGCTTTAAAGTCATATTTACTTGAATCAGACTCAGTTATCCCAGAGAAATTTAATATATGTTCTTGAATTCCAACTTTTTTATGTAACTTTATCTATAAAAATCAAATTATTTTTAGCATGAATGAATTTCTTAAAAAAAAAAGGGCTTCATTATATACCTCGCGGATAATTTCTTTTGTAACAGTGACATTATCTGAATTAAACGATTTTAGTGTTTTTGCATATAACTTGTACATATTTGCTTTATACATTTTATTATTAACTGATCCACAGTCCATTTCTTCTATGTCAGAGAAGAATCTTTCATATGAGAAATAATATTCACCATTCTGTATTGTATATTTTTCTATCGAAAATGCATTATCAGTTCCAGTATACACATTGGATGATGAAGCCATACTGGAACGAGGGAGAAAATATGAGGAATAGAAAAAATAATTAAATGTGGTAGAATTTATGAGGAATAAAAAAATAGGAAGATTTATGAAATGTGGGATAATTTATGAGGAATTAAAAAAAAATAATTAAGTGTGGGAGAATTTATGAGGAATAAAAAATAATCAAAGCCAGAACTTATTTTATATGATATTTTTTTCCTAAAATGTTTACTAAATGTTCTTTACTTTTTTAAAAAAACAGCTCTTAAGAGTGAAAAGGGCGCAAGGTAAAGCTGTGAGAGTGGAACAAAAATACAATTAAATGTGGGAGTATTTATGAATAAAAAAAAAGGATTATTTATACCTTTTTTTCTTTTTTTCGGTTTGATATTGTTAAGAATTTATAGATCCGAAATAATAATTACTATGACTGTAGATTGATTCATTGATGGCCAATTCAAACTAAAAATATTATTTAATCAAATTTTTATTGTTAAATTTTTATTTTTAACTAAGATAAAAATAAAAAAAATTTAATTTTAATTCATTTCCATTGTTAAAATTTTTATTTTTATCCTTCCCTTTCTTTTTTAAATAAAAAAGTAAAGGTAAAAATAAAATAAAGATAAAAGATAAAAATAATTAAATATAAGATATTTTTAGATTATTATTATTATTATTATTATTAAATTAATCTAAATAATACTCGTACCCCTTTATTTCTGCTAAAAACTATCAAACAATAACAACATCAGATTGTGATGTCGATTAGTAAATAGTGAATGGGAATGGTTGATGCAAAATGATTATAATAATTGGCATCGAACAAATAACTTCACTCATCAGTAAACATAGTGTAAACATGTGGCTTAGAACTTTCACGTTTGACACATTTTCCCCTGCGCCATATTGTGTTACGTCGTTGATCTGGAGTGATCCTCCTGCATAATTTTTTTTTAGCTTCAAAAAGATAATTATATACTATTATTAGAACAAATTCAGTACTTTATTAATATCGCTATTATTGTTGAATTTTGGACTACAAGAATATTTTGATGTTGATCAAATATCTTGTCAAATACCAGCTTAGGGTTAATATTATACAAATGAATAGTAAAATATATAAAATATGATGTAGAAAAGGTATTGTATGACTAATATGGTAAGTAATTTGAGTAATTTGTGACCAAAATAGTGCGGTAATACTTAATTCTGATCCTGAAGAACTCATAGTAAATGAGTGCCGATCTCGTTATTATATTGATTGGCGTAGAATATTTACTGCAAGGAATTGTAAACAATTAAACACATGATTTGAAGCATCTATAGTACGAGCAATACAGAATATCGAATCTTTCTCAATGATGCTGGTAAACCAGAATGGCGTAAGAGTGAATTAAAGGATAGAATAGTTAGAGATGCTTGATTGCACAGTGAGGGGATTCATCTCTTTTTGGCCTGCTTTGTTTTTTATCAGATGGACTACCTTAACCCGCTTTTCACTTACATTTGTGTGCATCAAAAATTATAATCATATCGTAGTAAAAAGAAAAATTTTTTCAGATAATAATTATATCACGTTTTTCAAAATGAAATAATTACTTAAATTTATTCATCGAATCATCGATACATCGAAAAACGAAAGCGTAACCAATCAAATTGTCAATATTAAATTGCATAATTATATTATTCTTTACTTACGTAATAAATGTTATCCTCCTTGTTTTTAATAGAAGAATAACTTACCCTTGTATTTAAAATTGTACACAAATAAAAAATTTCATGAGAACAGGGACATACCATATTTTATTTACGTAAAATATTAATATAATGCGCCGCAGTGAAATCCGTTTATTCACGTACGTCGTATTTAAAGGTTTTGTTAATATAGGCGTAGGAACATTATTATAATGTATTTTTATAATATTAAAAGTTTGAAGCGAAACGGAAAGTAAGAGCTTATTTTCATCGTATAAACATGATAATGAGTGATTTGATTTAGAATTGGGGCACTCATCTGTTTTACAAGTCACATGACTTTTTTATACTTTTTGTCTTTCCTTCGCTCCCTTTCACTCATTTTTTATTTTTTATTTTCGTTCATTTTATCAATTTTTATTTTTATAATTTTTATTGTTAAATGGTTTAATGAATCAGAAGGTAAGGATATTTTTTATTTTTTAACTTTTTTTTCGAGACATAGCTTTTATGTGCTTCCCTCAGGTTTGTGGTGCAGCAACTCGGTATTCGGTAAATGTAATTTTAATTTTTTATATTTGTTTTTGTTTACTTATTTCGATAAATATTAGATCATTAATTTTTAGGCTTATCTTCAACTGTGGTAGATTTGATTTCAATGGAATAATGTTGATTTTCATTTTAATTAAAAAATTTTTATTTATTTCTTTTTATATAGGAACGTTACTCATGTTCTTTTCATTGTTTTTTAAGGACGGAATCTGGACGAATGGATGAATGATGAACTAAAGATTGTAAGTTTGTTTCTTTTCGTTTTTTCTTATTTCTTCCTTTCATTCTGTTTACTTTCAAGGAACGCGATCATTATTCTCTTTTTTCTTCTTTTTAGGAAATTTGAGAAGCCGAACAACCAGAATATGAATGAATGAACTATCATTCTTTCCTTTTTTCTTTCATTTATTTACTTTCAGGAAATGTAATTAACATTCTTTTAGAAAGAAGAGTGTCAAACTGTCAATTCAACTCGGGACTCAAGTTAGTAGCCTAGATTTCTTAAGATAATGATTATTTTTTTTTGTTTGTTGACGGATCTGTTTTCAACTCTTCTTTTTATAAAAATGGTACAGGGCTTGCAAACAACTTTGTTCCAGAAACTAAGGTAAGGCATTAGATCAAAAAAAATTTCATTATTATATTCCGTTCCTTTTTTTTTCTTGTTCAGAATGACGGAACCCTTCAATAATCAAAAACAAATCGTATATAGATGCCCTTATTCTTCTTTTGCAGCAGAAATTCAATAGAAATTGGAAAGTAGTGCTTCGATCCGGGTAGAAACCATTATCCAGATAAATTAAAAAAATTATCTGGTTTTTATCCGGATTATCCGGTTCAGATATAAATCCGGATATATCTGGATAGAAACCGAAACCCGGATAAGATTATATATAAAAAATTTTTTTTATTGATCAATCTTAACAAATAATATCAGTGGCATTAACTTAATTAAATTTTGACTTAATATTTTTAACTAAATTAGTGATATTTTATTAATTTTAAATAAAATAAAATTTTAATTTCGGCCAGCACTACGAATTTTGCCTGAATTATGTCAATTTTTTGAAAATTTGAGAAACGTAAAATTTTGCAATAAATACATTATTATAAATATCAAAAACAATCGTAAAATAATGGAAGATTAGGCATAAACTAATTATTTTTATTATATTTATATACTATTTTGTAACTTGAAATTATCATTATCTATTAGAAAAAATCTTTTTTTTTTAAAATCATGGATCAACAGTAATTTGGGCCAAACATATAATGGCGGCCAAAATTACAAAAACCCAAATTTTGTTTAGCTGGGCTGCCTCTTGACAAACATCAATTTTGCAAAATTCGGGCTGGCATTATAGATGGCCTGAATTACTGCAGACCATCAAATATTCTACTAATAATTTTAGTAAGATAGATGATTTTAATAAATGGTAATTTAATAGATAATAATTTCAATAAATAAGTAATTTAAATGATTAAAAAAAATTTTTATAATTTTTTTTATCCGGATAATGGGTCAAACCGGATATTTTCTATCCAGATATTTATCCGGATAAAAACCGTGGTATCCGGATAGTTATTTTTTTTTCAGATATCCGGATACTGCAGTTTTATCTATGCACGGATCGAAGCACTATTGGAAAGATGGAAGGCTGATATTGCATTTAAATTGCACAATTGCCGAAGCCACTGGGAAATTGCGTGAGATTACTTGCAAGAATTGAGTGAGATTGATTCTTAGAATACAAACGAGATCTTTGAGGCCAAATTGGACATCCTTTCTATCCGATATAAAAATGTTAATTAAAAGACCTTGTTCTCATCGAATATAAGCCATTACACATCGAGCGAGACGGGAAATTCTTCATGTATCCCAGGCTAAGGCCCAAATCTTGTAACTTATTTCTTACATTACTACAATTATAATCCGAGAATAAAATCCTTGGATTTCCGGAATACACACAGTATCCGACGGATGAAAAATATCCGTGGATTGTAGCACTATGCGTGCTATGCGTGTCTTATGAAAAATTCTGCATACCGCAGTATACCATTGTTCGGAAATAACCTGGTCATAAAGGATTTGCCTAACCATTTGCCATTATTCATGATCATTTGTCATTTTGTCATTTAAATTTGCCAAATGCATTTCATTTATTCGACTAGATATGGGAATAGGGGCTGTGAAATATAAAATTTTCGCGTATTTTTCTATTTACCAGACGTTTACTAATTCTTCCGAAGTATTGCAAGTAAAGAAAAAGTAGCAACTTTCACGATGTACTACGGTGTGACGAAAAAATACTGGAAAAGAAACTTCTGGATGAATGTTTTCTTTCAGTTGAGGCTGACAGAGCTTTCATTCAAGATTTTTGAGGGTAGCATCACAAAGGCACTAATATCACGTTCGGAAATATTAAAGTTTCATGTATTATTTTAATTTTTAAAATAAAATTGGGCTTGGATAAGTTCTCAAAGAAAACAGTTTTGCTCGCAACATTATATCATTGAATTACGGATCATAAAAATTAGACTATATGTATTCCAGGCTAGTTATGAAGCCAAATTTTGTAATTTATTACGGTATATCGTTGATTCTTTTTTTATTTTTTTTTTCGATTTTATTTTTATTTTTATTTTATTATTTATTTTATTTTTATCTAGGCTTTTAAGCTCATATATAGCTATATTACAGTTTCGCAACAAGTACTTTATAATACTTAATTGTAATTTTCAAAAAAATAAAATTTTATTGCACCTTTTTTACTTAATTTTGAATAGATTATTTTTTTTTGCAAATTTTTTCACATTATATAACAATTGCGTCGATAAACATAAACGTAAATTTTACTAATAATGTGGCATAATAATGATATATATAATAAATTCTCGAAGTTTGGTAATTTATAAAATAAAATAAAAAATATATATACCTTCAATTATAATATTGTAATTCCATACGCCCAAAAAATTTCAATAATAAAAATATTGAGTAATAACATTTGTGATTCGAATCAGTCAACTTATATTTGCAGTCACAATTATTATTTATTAGCAGTATAATATATATCGAACCGAAAAAATATATGAGTAACATATCGTTAATTCTTCATCATCTTATTTCCAACATGTCTACTGAAACTGATAATACATTTTCGATAGAAAATTATTCAATACAGAATGGTGAATATTATTTCTATGAAAGATTCTTCTCTTACGTAGAAAAAATGGACTGTGGATCAGTTAATAATAAAATGTATAAAGCAAATATGAGTTATATGCAAAAACACTAAAATCGTTTAATTCAAATAATGTTACTGTTACAAAAGAAATTTTCCGCGAGATATATAATTAATGAACCCTTTTTTTTAAGAAATTCATTTATGCTAAAAATAATTTGATTTTATAGATGAAGTTACATAAAAAAGTTGGAATTCAAGAACATACAGTATATTAAATTTCTCTGGGACAACTGAGTCTGGTTCAAGTAAATATGACTTTAAAGTATTAATATCAATAAGATTTTCTAAAATTAATATTTATTTTTATTTATTATAGACAAATGTTTATTAGTAATAAGTTATACGGAAGGGAGAACACTTCGTAATTATTTAGACGAGAGATTTTCTTTAATGGGTTGGGAAATTAAATGCAGATTTGGTTGTGAAATATCAAATGCAATACGTTATATGCATATTAATGGGGTAGTACACGAAGACTTAAATTCAAACAATATACTCGTACATCAAAATTCAATAAGAATATCAGATTTCGGTCTAAGCAGACGCATTAAAAACAAAAGCAAAATTTCATATGATGCATTACCTTATGACGCTCCAGAAGTATTTAATATTAAAGTTGAAAAGTGGTACTTACCAGAACAAATAGAAAAGTTAAAAAAATGTAATGTTTATAGCGTCAGGGTGTTACTTTGGGAACTGTATAGTGGAAAAATACCTTTTTCTGATAGAGAATATAATGCTAATTTGGCTAAAGAAATTGTATAAGGATTAAGAGAAAATATAGTAGAGGGTACACCTGAAGAATACTCCAAGTAAGTTAATTATTTTAATGGTAAAGCATTCGAATATTACAGTTTTAAATAAATAAACCTATATTTTTTAATTCTATAGAATCTTGGAACGGCGATCCAGATATGAGACCAACAATTCACGAAGTTATTACGGCAATGCTTACATATACTGGGCATCAAATACTTAAAGATTATAAATTGGATCATGGATTATTCATTGATGGATATGACATAAAACTCGGTAAACAAGCTGCCGTACTCGTTGAAAGTGTTGAATTAAAAGATTCAAAATTTCATAAAGATATTCAACATTCAGTATATACCTCAATAAATGATAGCAATTCCAAATGTTTCAATGAAAATTTAAAACCATCAGACATATGCATTGATCTTCCTATCATTGAATTCACTTTTAATGTTAATAATGTTGATTCGCTAAAATCTTTTTCAAATAATGAGAAAGGAATGTACGACCACTTGGTGTTCGCAAAACGATTTATAATTGGTCAAAGATTATATATTGATAATCTTTCATCATTCACATCAAAACAAATTAATACTTTTAAATTATTTCTAATTCGGGCGCTTGATTCAGCAAAATCTATCATAAAAATCAATTTAATGATTTTTTCAGTTTAAATTTTTTTCCAAAAATAAGAACGTTTAATGAAAAAAGCTTAAATAATCCTAAAGAATTAATCAAGTGGATGAATAATTTATATCAAAAAAAGAACTTGATATCTCGTCATATTAATATTATTAATGCGTTTAATCAAAGAATTTGATCAAGATTCCGTTAGTCGTTTAGAAAAACTCCAAAAAATTCACAATGACATAAAGAATGTATGGATGAAAGAGTTCAAATTTCTTGATAGAAGCATATATAGATAACAATATGATAGATAAGGCGTGTGAAGTATTTAACAAAATTAATGAGTGGAAATATATTGGAAATGGTCCTCTCAAAAAACTCAACTTTTGTAATGCGTTCAGGAACAAATCTTGAAGAAGTAACAAAGTTATTTACATTAATGCATGAAAAAAAATTAACACCTAACAAAACAACTAAACCAATTCTCAAGAATATTTTTCGTCATCATTTAAATAATGATGCAATATCTTGGATTCGAGAGTTAAGAGAGAAAAATTTTATTGATGTAGGTTTAGAGAAAGAAATTTTGTTAATATTATTGAAAATAATAATTTAAAGAAGCCCTTCGTTCTTTCGAGGTTTCGAGGATATGAAGGCAAGAAATTTGAAGCCAGATATTTATTCATATGTTCCGTTGATTCATCAACTTGCACAACATGAAAGGGCTGATGAAGCATTAAAGCTAATAGAAGTTAAAGAACAAAAAGTTCATCTAAACACTGTAGCTTACAACGTTTTTATTAAAGTATATAATATGGCATCAAAATATGAGCAAACAGGGCAAATTATTGGGATATGAACACTGCGTACATTTAGTAGTCAACTCTTCAATGCATACGCCAAAGCGGGTAATGCCGATCTGGCTCTTCAAATTATAAAGAAAATGTCAGATATGAACATTCAACCTAACGAATATATTTATTATTTAATGATCGAAATGTTTTCAAATTTATCATATCCAATCAATGGAAAATGTATTTCGTCACATGATCGACAACGGAATAGAATCAAAAGGGGTCGCTTATTATTATCTATTATTGGGTTATACTCGGGTCCAAGGTTTTAACAAGGCACTTCAAACTTGTCGACTTATGATAAAATCAGGGATTGAACCTAAGATAAGCACATATAACGCATTATTATCACTTTTTACTGAGAAAGGAGGCAAAAAAGGTGCTCGTTTGTTGTTTCGTGAAATGCAACGATTTGGATTATCTCCTGACGTATATACTTATACTTCACTTATCAACGCTTATGTGAAAGCTTCAGATATAAAAAGCAGAAAAATTCTCTCTGAAATGAAAAAAGCTGGGATTGAACCATCAATTACATGCAACATTTAATGAGTTATTATGCAAAGACAAAGAATATAAAAAAATTGAGACAAATATTTAATGAAATTGTAATAAGAACATTCAACCTGATAATTTTACTTATTGCTGTCTTATGGATGGATTTGTTTCTATAATGACTTCCGATCTGTTATCACTCTTCTGAATGATATGCAAAATAGAAATCTAAAACTTCAGTTGATGCTCACGTATATACAGTTCTTATCAAAGCATATATGAAAATTGGAAATTTTCAAAGGCAAAATCTCTTTATGAGACCATGATCAAGGATAAAGTAGATCCTACTTTCGTCACATGTGCCGTTTTAATTGATGGCCATGCTAGAATTAGAGAATTGGATTTTTCTAGAAAACTTTTAACAGAGCTTATTTCTCATGGAACTAGTATGAATCAAATAACCTATAATAAAGTATTAAGTCCTGATATATTTACTCCTTTGATGGACGCTTATGCAAAACAAGGACTGGCTGAACCTGCAAGGGCAATATTTGAAGAAATGACAACAGTAGGAGCAAAGCATAATTTATATGTATATACTATACTTATGGATGCATATTATCGTGGTCATAAGTATGAAGCTGTGTGGCAGATGTGGAAATTGACGAAAAAAATTTTCGTGACTCCTTTATCGAAATCAAAAATATACGAACAATTATTAGATTTACAACAAAATGAACAAAATGAACATAAAGAAAATTCTTCATTAGCGGAGTCAAATGGTCCTCTTCATTATTGATATCATTTAGTTTATTATATAGTTTGAGACCAATTACACAATTACAATAATGATAAACGTATTAACAGCAGCAAAAAAATTTAAACTTATTGAATTAGAATGGAATAAGCTAAATAACGAAGATTTTGAATTTGATTTATATATATATATGTGTGTCTAAATTATAATGACTATATACAAAGTTTAATAATATCAGGAAAAATTGGATTAGCCTGTAAATTATTGAATGAACATTTAGTTAAAGGTTGGGAAAAGGGTTTAGCTCTTTCAAATATTTATGAAGAAAAATTTTCTACGCAAAGTATAAAATATAGATTGAAAAATTCTGCAAAATTTTATCCTCAGAAAAAACTTTATTCTTATTGGCCAATTATATAAATCAAGGGAAAGTTAATAAAAAGATTACTCAATATTTAAAAGAACTTAAAGAAGAATTTCCCGAAGTTTTTTATATTACTCGGGAATTTGCTAAATCCTGTAAATTAAATAAGTTCAAATGTTATCAAGATAGAAGTCATAGCGGATAGTGAATAACAAACTAGAGTTTGGATCCGTTATCCGGTAGGACTTTCAGTAAAATTGTAATTTATAATTACGAATATGTGTTTGAACCAAAAAATTTTGGAATAAATATTCTTTGCAGAATTGATGGTTTAGTCATGAAATTAATTTCAATTTTATGTATAGTAATAGGCTCGCTATACGCAAATTACATTTTGGATATCCGTTATCCGGATATCCGTCGGATATTAAATTCTAATTCCATTACTCCAACATTACGAAATGAATTTTTTAAACTTTTATCATTAAGGTTGATCATTGGCTTAATGACTACCCGCTAAACTATTTAAATCTTCAGATATTTATTTTTAAATCTGAATAATCATCCAATTTATTAATATCCGTTCAAACAACGGATCCAAACTCTATAACAAACTTCTTTCAAATTGTTTATCACGAATAATCTAATTCGAGATTAATCACAATTCAGATCAAAGAAACTTGCTTGACTTGATGTTTCTTAAAATATAATGGATCAAATTGTAGAAGGTCGTCCGCGTATCATTTTAAGGCCACGTTAAGTCGAATTTTGTTCCAAATAAATTATTTAATTGCAAAAATTTTATAAGTTTAAAACAACAAATTTCAAATAAATTGATCTCTGATAAGATATTAAAATACTTAAATATTTTGATTTTGATTTTGATTTTGATTGTTTGATTGTTTGTTTTTTATTACAATATTTGCACTTATATTATTTATGTATAAAAAATTGCTAATTTATCATACTATATTTCACATAATTTACAGATACTAAAGATACTAATCTACAAGTAATTTCAAAGTTCAAACTGCTTGTCCACAAACTTGAACGTTTGACCATTGACTTCTATCAACGTTTGCCTTAACTTCACCAGTTTCTGCCCAATTTATCGGTTCACTATTACCACCTCTTATTTGCCCAAAGTACATTACCAACAAATCCTCTGATCATTTCAACAACAACTTCGCCATTTATTCCACCTTCAACATGTACATTTTCGAATAATATGAATCTTTCCTTGATCACTTTCACAAAACAAAACTCTTCTTTCGTCAATAACTTTTGAACTAAATAATTTTGAATTAAGAAGACGACCAAGAATTTGTTGTTTCTCTTGTTCACTTGATACCGGACAAATGAGATGAATAACATATATTTTAGATAATTGATGTAGGAAAGGAACTATATTTTCAATAAATGCATGATTTGGTGAATCAGGATCAGACGATGGATTCAATAACAAAGTCTATATTTTATTAAGAAATAAATAAATGAATCGTTAACTTAAATATAAAACTCAATCCAACATAGATAGTCACTTACATTCTTCATTGAAATGGAGATAGTTTTCTTTTTTGGTGATAACAATGCATTTCTAAATAACCTAGAAGCAAGTTCGTTCCTTTGAATAAATATAAAGTAAGTAACGGAAATTGGCAAAGTAACGAACGTAAAGTCACATGATCTATTACGTTCTTTTCTTATATAAGGTACGGAACGTAAATTTTTTTGGTAAATACTTTACGTTACTCCTTATATTTGCGTCATGTTTATTTGTTTATCGAATCTCGTTTTCAGTATAGGTTCATTTCCTCGGTTCCTTCCGGTTCTGCAATTAAAGTTCAGTTGATTTAGTTGTTTTCACTTTATGTTTCGTTTCTTAATTTTTTTTTTATTTTGTTTCTGTTTCATATTTCGTTTTTCACTAATTTTATTTCAATTTTTTTTAGATATTTTAGTTCTTTCAATTCTAAAATTAATAAAGGTGTTTTTTTTTTATTTTCTATTTATTTTTTTTTTATTTCGTTTTTATCTTATATTTCGTTTCTTACTAACTTTATTTTTTTTTTACTTTATGGTTTATTTTTTACTTGGTTTCCTATCACTCCTCTTCGTCTCCCATCACTTCTTTTGTCTTTCATCATTCCTTTCGTCTCCCATCATTTCTTTTTGTCTCTCATCACTTCCTTTCGTCTCTCATCACTCCTCTTTGTCTCCCATCACTTTTTTTCGTCTTCCATCACTCCTTTTCGTCTCCCATCACTTCTTTTCGTCACTCATAATTCTTTTTGTCTCACTTCACTTCCTTTCGTCTTTCATCATTTCTTTTTGTCTCTCATCACTTCCTTTCGTCTCTCATCACTCCTTTTCGTCTCCCATCATTTCTTTTCGTCTCCCTTTTCGCCTCCTATTACTCCTCTTCGTCTCCCATCACTTCTTTTCGTTTTCCATCACTCATTTTTATCTCCCATCATGTCCTATTTCTCCTTTTGTTTCTCATTGCTCTTTTTTACTCCTTTTTATCTTCTATAACTTTCCATTACTCCATTGTTATTTCATTTTTTTATTAGCATCTTTCTCCTTGATCATTATAATTTACTTATCTTTTTTATTTATTGTTTTTGTTTTTTTATTTGTATTACTTCATTAAAAATAAATATGGTGATTTTTTCTTTAAAATCGAAAATGTGAGACTTAAATTATAATATATGCAAATAAAATTTCATTAAATAAAATTATTTTAAAAAATTTTTTTAATTATCTTCGCAATAAAATTTTGAGTTTAACCGTTTAATTTTTTAATTTTGATTTTAATAAAATGAAAAAAAAAAATTTTTAAAAAATATATTGCCATGCATCACGTGCATCAATATCTTTATAACTGGTGTAACCTTTAATTACATTTAAAGAAACTGTGTAACTGGTCAATTAATCAAATGTTTCATGCAAATGTAATGATTATGATGTAATATAATCAAGATAAAAAAAGTATAAAAGATAAGAAAAAATTTGTTTTCTTCACAGATTTTACAGATTCCCTGATCAGTTTCTATTTTTTTTACTATTACTAATTTCCTTCTATAATTTGTAATGTACACAAGCTCTGTGACTCAACCTTTAATTAACACCACAAAAAGAATAAAAGAAACCAAGAATATATTGTTTTATGAAAAGGATAAGGTACAAGAAATATGTGAAGAAATAAATCTATTAAAGCATGAAATTAAAGATTTTAATGATAACGATGAGAATTTAAGACAGGAAAAAATAAATGTTTATGATAATATTCAGAAAAAAGAATTGAATGCAATTCAATTATATCATTTTGAAAGAATTCAAAAAAATAAAGTAGTTGCAAATAAAGAAACAATTTTGACTCAAAATGAATTAAATAGATTAACTGATCAAGAACAATCATTTTATAAAAAATATGAGCAATTTATTCATAATTTCAAAAGTGAATTACCAGAATCATTTTACACATCTAGTGAATTACATGCACCTAAAAGACCTTATACAATAGTTCGAGTGATTGAAAATATTGGTGAAGTAGTGACTAAGAATGGTACTATTGGATTACTTAAAGGAAGTCAAACTATAGTCAGAGAAGCAGATCCAACAATCGCAAAATTGATAAAGTTGGGACACCTTAAAAAAATTGATAAATGAATAATATAATCATACACTTTGCGCAACTTTAGATTCATATGCTGTAATAATTTTACAAATGACATTGTAAAATTAATTTTCATAAACTTAATAAACAAAGATACTGTAATTATAAAGGTACTTTTATTGTTATTATGTAACTAAAATTTTTGTGATTTAAACATTGATAAAATTCTTTTAATTCGTGATACACTTAAAAAGACAACCTATTTTGATATAAAATTCGTGATATCAGTGCAAAAAATAGAGGATCAAATATTCTAAAAAGAAGGAGTATATGTATGTTAATTATGTTACGTTTCACATGCTTAGCCTGATGACACCCCTTTGATAACATTATAATTCAAGAATTATATATTATTGGATGATTAAACTAAATAATAATATTATCGGTTTGACGGGACCGTTCATGCAATTTTTATAATAAACTCCCGTTACTATCCAATAATTTTATTATTATGCTAATACATAGTAATATGAGATAACCGACCTAAATAACAATTATGTAAAATCTGCATGAACTTATATAATATAGGATATACTGATATTAACTTTGCAAAATAATTAAAATAATTGGACTAGGATATCTAAAATATTAAGAATTTATTTAGTATGGATTTATAAAAAAATACTGGGATATTTATGATTGCAAATTAATTTGGTTTAGATGGTTTAGAAAAAAAATTAATGTTCAATTCCTATTATATTTTAGTTAATACTTTAATATTGTAAATATGTACAATGTCATTAATAAAAAAAAATTTTTATGATGCAAGTTATCGTATATATATACAACATTGTCTTTTGGGAAGAACAGAATAAAATTATTGAATTTCTAACCTATAAATAAATTAATTTAAATATTGTAACGTTACATAATGATATCGTCATACTGTCAGCTATCTGATTATTTTGAGACATATTTAAAAGCAAAAATGTCAAAGCGTATTAAAAATTAATAAACTATTGTTAATTATTGCATCATATCCTACACATGCTTCATCACCTTGAAAATACAAAAATTAATTAATAATAGTAATCCCCTGTCGCACTAAGTGTCACTCATGATCAACCTTCATACTAATTTTTAGTGATTAGCTGAGTTTATAAATGACCGGGAATCTTCGTTTAGTTATTTCCCGGTCTCATAATTACTAATTTTAGTTTAAAATAGTTAAAATAGTTAATATTTAATGAGTGACACGCTCCAGGGGATTACCCTATTATTTCCAACTCCCCATGAAATAAATAATACTAATTTGTATTATGCTTGTGATATTGATTATTAATGTAGCGAATGTCCGTCTGTAATAATTGATGATCATACGATTATAACGCGCCCAATACTTGGTTTATCATTATTATTGTTAATTTTATTATTTAATTAACTTAGTAATATAAGAACCCGAGCTATAATAGAAAGGTCGGTCCTGCTTATTTGCTTATAATGAGCCAAAATCATGTAGATCGCTTCTATTTGTGGATAATGCTGACAAGCATTATATGGTGCCGGCTAATATTAAATGTGTGCCGATCTTTCCTGACCTATATAATATATAACTCGGCGTTCTAGTAATATTTGCTAAAGCACATTGAAATTCTTTTGCTCGTTTGGTGGGATTTGTGGGAAATAAGTTTAATATTTTTCACCTCAAATAATAATAAAATAATTTTTTAGAATGATTATAAAGAAATATTGAAATTTTATTTATGACAAATCTTTAAACAAATTTATAATATTGAATTGATTATATAATATATACAGTATATATATATATATATTATCAATATGTGATAATTTCAACAGTCTATTTAATTTTTAAATGTAAAACCTACAAAAGATGACTCATGATTATATTGATCGTGTAATGCTTGAATATTACATGCATATGATAATGTTTCACTTGATTAAGTGCGTGTAGATAAATTTAATACCTTAAATTTAGTATAATCTTAAGAAGTTTTGTAATGACTAAATAAAACAAAAATAAATTGATGATAGGGATCGTAATACTAAGTAGAGGCTCTTTTTTTGTTGTATTTTTTGAAGAAGGAGTTTGTTACATTCCTATACTCTAGATGAGTCTGTTTTTAAAAAGTATGGTTTTTATCAACTTTAATTTCATAATTTTCTTGATCTATAGTAATGTAATATCTCCATTTAATATAAAGATTCCTAATCATATCGTTCCCATTATCTATCAAAGATTTTTTCCGTATCTGTATGTAGCTAGAAAAAAATAAAACAATTAATAAGTATTTATTTAATTTAAATAGACACTATCTGTATTCAACTAAAATGCATAAGCTTCTTCATAATCATCCAGAACTTTTATCATTTCCAACACGTTTTTATCCCATAATTACAATCAAGTATTTCCTTATAAGTCATCTTTGGAATTATAAAGTCTACTGAATGTCTTTATAATAAAATCATGACACAGTTCTAATGTATTGTATGACTGACATTTATTATAGTGCTATAGTATGCATTAGTCATATAGTATTATTTATGTGATGATATTATGTTTACAATTTGTTAATTTATTCATATTTATTCAGAATTATCTGCAGCAATTACAACATATAAAGTCTACACTTCCCCATTATTATAAAATCCATACTTCCAATAATATTCTTACTTCCAATAATTCAATATTATGCGAAAAAATTATTTTTTAAATACTCCACCTAAAGATTATGAATTCCTTGGATATTACAGTCATCGCAGACAACAACCTGATTTCACATTCTCATTTGAAAAAGAATCATATATACTTACTATGGAATTAGAGAAACTAATAAAAGGAAATTACTCAAGTGAAATTAAAGTCTCTGCAAGTCAATTATATAATAGACTTAAGGCAAGTTTAAATGTTATCATGTTGTTATTATTGTTATTATTATTGTTATTATGATTTTGATCATAATTGTTATTCTTATTATGTTTTTCTTTGTTGTTTACAAGGATCATCGCATAAAATATCGTGGTGTTCAGTTATTTTGGGATATGATAGAATCATCATTCAATGATATAAACCCACAATTTGCACATCTTGGCAATGTTTGTTACATTATTTTTTATTTTCTTTATTTCCATTCCTAGTTTAAGCCCAATATTAATTTGGTATCATATTTTTGATTAGATACAAAATGCTCAAATCGGTAATAATTTGGTATGTACTTTTAAAATTAAATCTTTTTCTGGAATTTTTTACCATAAATATGTTCAAAAAAATTTACTCTTCAAAAATTTGTTAAAGAATTATAATACCAAATGGCATGCTGAAGGTCCAGAAGTTTCAAAAAATTGTACTCCCATTTTTTGTTTTCCTCCTAAGCATAATGAGAAACCGGCTACAAACCCTTTAAATGTACCTATTAATGAAAAACCAAATTTGGATTTTTCAGGTGGATCTTTCTCATCAGAAAGTGGAAATACTCATGATACTGAACTCATAAAATTTGTTCATGAGGGATTGAAGACTTTAGGAATGAAGGCTATCATAACAAGGAAGACATACAGAAATCCAGTAACAAAAAAAATAGATTTTTTTGATAATGGTGGAGTTGATATAATTGCCTGGTACAGAGAAATGGAAGTATTCATTCAATGTAAAGGATCTACTAATCCTGTGACGATTAAGACAATTCAAGAGATGGAAAATCTCTTGTTAAAACAGGTTGGTAAAGTAGGTTGTATAGTATCAGAATCAAATATTAATCAAAATATCATCAACATGGTAAACTCATCTAAACGGAAAATTATTCTTACTACCAAATCAAAAGCTTACTTTGATATAGAAAGTTATTATAATGCCATTAAAATGCCTAGACAAGTCCCTCTTGTGCATAATAATGAAATTGTTGTAGAAGATATGAGAATTGAAGTAGTGAAAGGGGATGATGATGAGGTTAATATGATAAATTATGGACAGATTGGAGTGAAAGGAAAAGGAAATACAAAACTTAATGTTAGTTGTAAAAAGATTTGTCAAAAATTAATAGATCCTACAACCCAATTTACAATAGGCCAATTTAGTATTCCAAATAATTTACTTAAAAAATGAAAGAAGTTGATACTTTGAAAGATTCTTGAATAATTATGTTTATTATATATGATTTTCTATCATATGAGAAAATGGTGCACTCAGAAAAATTTAAGTAAATACTGGTTGAAATTGCAATTATAAGCTTGAGAATGCCTTTTTTATAATTTGACGTTAAGCAACAGATTTTCGATTTTTTTTTTAAATAAATAATATAATAAAAGGTTATTTATATAAGTTATAAAATATTTAATTAACCAGCCTCTCTATGCAAATTGGTAAAAAAAGTACAGTATGATCCTATAAGGATATATAATAAATAAGTTTTATTAACGAATTTATGTGACGCAATACAAAAAAGGGAACACCATGACAATATATGATGAAACTAAATATGTAAATTATTTATACCATGCCATTTTAATCTTTTTTTTCTTACATATTTTTTGACAAACCCACAATTAAAAATATTAAACAATTACTTTTTCCAATCATTGCAATAATTTATCCATGTGGCTATTCCACGAAGGGAACTTCAAAAACAATCGAACAAGTCTAAAAAAACAAAAAGCAAAACTTAAATACTTCAAATATCAATTGATGTCGTTCGAAAATGATGGTCACAAAGCAGGAAACTATCTAATAATTTCTTGACCAATCAGATCACTTATCGGCCTGTCATTAGTCAGATGAATAATCAGCTGATTCTTGTAATTTTAATCCGAAAAGGGAAAAAAGCAGGGATAGTTCGTTCAAAGAGGAAGGAAAGAAATTTACAGGGGACAACACAAAATTTGTGCTACTTATAGCTTAGAAAGGCCGATTTTTCTCTTATTTAGCTTATTGATCACTGTTTTAATCTTTTTTCCTGCAGATCGAAATCCTGATAGCCTCAAAAATTGCTTTATATGGTTTAGATTCGGTAATTTCCTCGTCTTCTGCAATGGCATGATAATTATCCGTATGTTGATTGGCTCGATCTTCGGAATTTTGTGTAATACTTGCATTTAAATCAACATTTCCACAATCGAATTTCCCGATTCAGATTAGAATCATGTTTTTTATCACCGGAAATTCTTTTGGTTTCCACCGGAATTTTTATTGGATCGGCCTTTTATTGCTGCGACCTCGTAAGTTTCTTCTAATGTTAGACTTCTCCAAAAATGATGCTATGCTGTTTGTTGAACTTATTTTTTCGGTTTTATTTTAGTGGTATTGTTTTCTTAAATGAACTACTTTATAACCTCTTTGTCAGGTTGTTGCGATATAATGCGAGAGGTGGAACGTGCTGAGTACCTTGTTCGCTTAAACTTTGATCAGAATTCTTCGGTAGTGTCTATTCCTGTTGTTATTAAGTACTCTTTAAATGAATAACGCGATAGTTTGTGTTCTACCTGTCATTTCATAACAATTGTACTAAATAATAAACTTGTTTTTTCGCTGAGAACAATACATTTGAAAATACATTTGTTATTTGTTCCATTCTGATTTCCTTTTTTGGATGTAGATCATCATTTAGTCTTGCTTACGTAATACATTTTCACGCATTGCGTCCTCTAACAGCCTTTTAATGTTTTTATGTCGATTTTTCAAAAAAAATAATTTTTTACGAGTCCAATGACAGAAAATAAAGCATGAACGCACAAGAATATATAAATTCTACCTATCTAACAAAAGAATTAAGAGAGAAAGAAACGAAATTAGATATTAAAGATATAAATTTAATTGGTCATTTAGATTTATCTGATTTTATTAATTTAGAGAAATTAAGTTGTTCTGAAAATCAATTAACTAGTTTAGATATCAGAAAAAATGGGAAATTAACCGAGATTGATTGTTATCAAAATAAATTAACTGATTTAGACCTTAGTAATTGTTCAAATATTATTTTTATCAGAGCTGGTTGTAACCACCTTAAAGACATAAAATTACCTACTGATATAAATAATGAAATATTAGAATACTTAGATTTATTTGATAATTTATTTTCTCAAAACTTGAGCTGTTTTAGTCACTTTGTAGGCTTAGAAGAATTGCATATAGGAAAAAACAAGTTTAACGGTAGTTTAGAATATTTAAAAAATTTAGTTAAATTAGAAAGCTTAAATATTAGTAATACAGATATAGACTCTGGTTTAGAATACTTACCTGATAGTGTTAAAAGTTTTTTATGCTTAACAAATGAAAGGCCAGAAGCAAAAGTGAAAAAAATATATGAACAACTTGAGATTTATGCTATGAGCAATAATGATGCCCACAAAGGTAGATATAATTTGAGAGCATGGAAATTAAATTGGAAGTTAGTTAAAGACAAGGAAGCGCTTCAATGTCAAATAAAGTTAAATGATAAATTTACAGAACTTGAGGAAGAAGAAGGTAGTTTGCATGTAAAAGAAGAAAAATTGACAATAAAAAATAATCAATTGGAGACAGAAATAAAAGATTTGAGGGAATTGACCAAGGATTTAAGTTCTAAATTAAAACAAAAAGATATTGATTATCAACAAATCCTACAACAATTAAAAAAAAAAGAGGAGGAATTAAAATCCTCTGCCGCCGAACACTATATAGAAAAAGAAGAATTGCAAAAAGAAGTGAATGTTTTAAGAGATGAATTAGATACTAAAGAGAAAGAGATAAAACAATCAGAAGAGCTGTTAGAAAAAACAAATAAAGAATTGAGAACTAAAGTAGAAGCATCAGCCAGCTTGAAAAATGAATTAGACAATATTAGATTGTTATTTTCTAATATTGAAGTTAAAAAAGCGAAATTAAATGATATTAAAAAAGAATTACTTGATGAAATAGCTTATACTAAAGCTTGTACATCTGAACTGAGAAAGAAAAAAGATGACTTAAAGACAGAAATAAATAGAATAAATAATCAAGCGGGAAAAGTTAAAGAAATGGAGAAAATACTTGAAACGATCGAAAAAAATAAGGAAGAACTTCAAGATGAACGACGCGTTCAACGACTCCGTATAGAAAAACTTCGGAAAGACGAGGAAAATCTACAGCAAACATTTGAAATCCGTAATAGCCAATTAAAGGACAAGGAAGAACTTATCAATGAATATAAACAACAAAGCAAGCAACGTACTGATGAACTTCAAAGAAGATTGAATGAAGAAACCAAAAAATATCAAAATTCTCAGGAGAATCTTAAGGTACTACAAAGACAGTTAGATGAAGAAACCAGAAAATATCAAGATTCCCAGGTAGAACTTACTGTTCTTAACGACCAATTAAAAAATAAAGAGGATCTTATTAATGAGCTCCATAAACAAATTGAAAATCTAAATGGACGATTGAGCCAAATAAGAAAGTTGTCATTTTCAGATGCCGAATAAAAATAATGAAATGCTGACATTAAATATTTTGGAAAGCAAAGCAAAATCTTTTAACTATGAATCTACACTAGAAATTAAGTGATCTATTGTGTATATCGAATATCATTTCTACGTGTTTTCTATTTATAAAAGGCAATTTAAAATTATGAGGGATGATTTATTTTTTGACTTGTCAATGCACTTTACTAGAATTTAATTTTTTTTTCTTATGATTTGTTGGAATATTGTATCTTTATATAATAAATGTGCTTTTCTAAAATATTATACTTATTACTTTATTATCTTAATATAGCGTGTAATTCATTCAGCGTATATACTCATTATCAACTGAAGACGAGTTTTTGAATATTTATAATATAAATATAAAATATTAACACGTGTAGTTTTAATGTTGCAATTTTTTTAATATACATTGTCTGAATCGCTTTATTATAATCCAATGAATAATTCAGTATTCGCTCACTTTATTATTTTTTCTTCGGCTTTAAGCTTTAAGCTTGTTAACTCACTGTAGCTGTCACCAGGAAATTTTTTTAGACGTAAACCTTCGACGGAAGTATAAACTTATGTAAGTTTGTGTAAATGTGCGTAGGCTTGTTTATGTTTTCGTAAATTTTTCTAAATTTATGTAACTTATATAGGATTACATCCCATCGGAATGGCGAAAATTTTTGATTAAGTTCATTGTAAGTCTGTATGATATAGCATAATGATTCTTTTTCGATTAACTGAATGCTTAAAATCTATATTTACGACTTAAACGCGATATACGCTAACGTTTCTGTAAAATATCTATCTAACGAAATTCAAAATTTCAACTTCTACTTAAAATTAATGTTTTTTTCCAAAAAAAAAAAAAATCTATTTTTCACAATCATACTCCTAGAATGTTGTAGTAATTCAATAAATAAAATAAATAATATTATGGAATAATGAATTGAATTCATGAAATATTCAATAAAATCTCAGTCCTTTACGTTAAAAGATTCTGTCTTAAATAAGATTTAATTAAATATACCCAATACCACTTTGAATTCATTTTAGGAGAAAAAATTCACTTTGGTTTAAGTCTAAAAACATATTACGATATTAGTTTACGTTAGCAAGAATAAAACTTAATAATAATACTATTGAAGAAAGTAAAAATGCGTCATTAAATCAGAACTTTATAGAAATTTAATACATTATAATAAAGTGTACTATTTATAATACAATTTATCCTAGCGAAACTTTGACCGAAGTTTAAGAACATGGCTGAAATTATTTGGTTATTCTGGCCAAATTTGTGGTGCCGGCCAGAATTATAAATCACGTGATTACGGATAAATTCCATGCCTTTCAACAGGTTCATAATACGGGCCAAAATGTATAGTGTTGGCCAGACAATTTCGGCCCGAATTTCGACTTTCGGCAGAGTTTCAGTTCAATCTTAAAACATAAGTATATTGCTTAAATTCCACAAGGAGAGCTGGCAACATCAGTACTTTATTTAATCAGTAATAAAGTTTTCCGGTAAAAAAAATCCGATTGGTTCGGATTAAACCGAAAATCCGGATGAAAATCAACGGTTTAAATCCGACCGGATTATCAGATTCCGGATAACTCGGAAATTAATGTCTTATCTAATAGTATTTGATGTTTATGTATACAGTGGAAGGACTAAATATATATTTTTTTATCTAGATTTTTATTACAGCAATATCTATAATATACAGAATGCCCTGCAATTTTATCTCTTGTCGATCGAGTTCGAAATAAAATATCCGCCGATCTGCAGAATGCATGTGATAATTTGGCGAATTCCCTGTAAAAAATTTTATCCGTCATTTCTGTAGAAACTCCGTGAATATGATATATTTGCATTCTGCAAATCGGAGGAATGAGTGCTCTCTAGCGATATAATTTTCCTTACTCGGAGTTTTACCGAGTTTTGCCGAATGTGCCAGGTTGCATCGGCAATGTGATGTTGTGTCCCATATATTATTGTGACAATTGTGACATGTCATTTAGATCATATGTAACAAATTAACATAACAAGATCGGCAAATATCTCCTCAGAATTACGTAAATACAACTGGAAATTATCCAGAATTGGAAGGATCAGCGAAATTATTTCGGTTCCATTTTCTATTCAAACTCCCGCATTGTTACCTTTTTGTGTTTTTGTGTCGTACAGTATAATATATAAAATGTAGTGCAAAGTTACAATCGCCGCTTATTAAAGTTTCCCTCGAATAATTTATCAAAAAAATGAGTTCATGTAAAGAATGTTATCAAAAAAATACCGGACATAGATGGTGTAAAGCATGTTATGCAGAACATTTTCAACAAAATTTTGAAAATTGGACCAGTGGAAATAATGATATTGACAAATTTATTCAAAATGCTCAACTAAAAGCAATTAATTCTGAAAAAGTATTGGAATGGATACCTTATGATAGGTTTTATAATATTGAATTTATTGCAAAAGGTGGATATGGTAGAGTGTATAGAGCAATCTGGATTGATGGATTTATAACATACTGGGATAATATAACAAAAAATTGGAAAAGAATGTACCAAAACAAAGAGGTAGCACTAAAAAGTTTAAATAATTCAAAAAATGTTACATTTGAATTTCTTAACGAGGTATAAATCAATTTTTTTTAATAAAATTTATTTACTAAAATACTAAAATACACCTATTTTTTTTCTTTTTAAAATATTGTGCAGATTACATCACATCATAAAATTGAAGACAATTTTTCTATTACTAGACTTTATGGAATAACTCAAGATCCAGAGACAAGAAATTATATTATGGTTTTAGATTATGCAGATCATGGAAGTTTACGAAACTATTTAGATACATATTATAATAAATTAAGTTGGTATACAAAGTTTCATGATTTATGGCGCATTGCATATGGGCTTAAAAAAATTCATGGGAAAGAATTAATTCATCGAGATTTACATATTGGCAATATACTAAGGTTTTTTAATAGTACTAGTATAACTGACATGGGATTGTGTAAACCTGCAGATTATTATAACAAAATAGAAAACACAGATATTAATAAAATATATGGCGTTTTACCTTATATTGCACCAGAAGTTTTAAGAGGACAAAATTATACTAAAGCAGCTGATGTTTATAGTTTTGGTATTATTATGTACGAAGTAATTTCTGGATTACCTCCATATCATGATGTAAGACATGATAGTAATTTGGCAATGAAAATTTGTTTAGGATTAAGACCGAGGTTCGATATTAAAGTACCTCAATTAATTGTGCATTTGATAAAAAGATGTTTGGATGCAAATTTATTAAATCGACCAAAAATGGGAGAAGCTGAATTCATTTTATATAAGTGGTGGAATTGGTTTGACAATCAAATCGAATTAAAAAACCAAATTAAAGAAGCGGAAGAAATCAACAATAATTTATCATTTAATAGTACTTTAACACCAACTAGTTTAGCTTTATCATATGAAACACATTCAGAAGCTATTTATACGAGTAGATTACTTAATTTTAATGATCTTCCTGAACCGAAAAATTCTGATGATTATTACATTCAAAATGATAATATAATAAGCAAGGAATATTCAGGTAACTGCAATTAATATTTTTTTCATTAAAGTTACTCAAAAAACTAACAAATATTATTTTATTAAATAGAAACTTTAAACATCGAACTTTCTCAATTAATAATAAAAGCAATATTATGAACTTGATGTGTTTAATTTTTTTCGTTATATTAATAGATAAATGATTAATTATATTTATTATTTTTTACATTAAATATGAAACAAGATATGCATTATTTGTGTTATTAGCAGTTATTTTATCCTTATCTCATCCCTTTTTTTATTAGATATATATTTTTTATTCAATACTAAAAATGAAATTTATTAGGGTTGTTATTTAATACAGTGGATTTAAATTAAATTTTATGCACATTTATTTTATGATTACAAAGGTAATAAATATTTGTTTCATATACATACAGTAGTTTACTTATAACTATGTCAAAGTTTTTTTGGTCAAGTCAATTATGTTCTTTTACAGTTTATAATATAATTCATTACAAATGATGTTTCAGCTGATCAAATCAAATGTTTAAATATTTAACTTGTCTTTTTTTATTAGCAGGTTTATTTCTGTATCGTTTAATTATGTAGTTAAAGCTAATATTAGTAGCTTGTGTGCTAAAATAATTTTATACAATAATCATTCTGGGTTTGACAGCATTTACGTCTAGTAACAGGTTTGTTGTTCGAAAGAAAAATACGGTTTACCATTACGATGTTGCTTTACCATTCCTCTTACTTCAAATCGTTGGGAAAGTTCAGGAGAGGGTTTTAATTAATAGTGGTTCTGATGCCAAGGATTGTATATTAAATTTTAATTAATATAGCCAACCCATTTTCGTGTTAAATTTACACGCAATTTAGCAATAATCTATTATTATAAATTAGCTAAACGTCTCTTGATTTATTTAACAAAAATAAATAAATAAATAAGTAAACACAATTTTTTCTTTTTGCTAAATTTAAAGACAACACAGACTGACGACATCAAATTAAATTGGGTCAAGATTTAACTAATTAATGTTGCATTATCCGATCATAAGACTGAAATAACACATTTAAAATTTTCTTATTTATTTAATTATTCAAGTTTTTATTGTATCTTAAATTTTTATTTTTCGTATTGAGATGAATGCAGTGTATTTTCTTGGTTTTCATCTTACGTTTATTTAAAGTTCATGATTTAAGAAGATGCATTAGCAATCTGAAATATGAACTCAATTAATAACCCAAATGAATAGCATTTTAACATAAAATACAACTTTATATTTTTATGATTCTTGTCCTTTTATTTATAAGCAGTATCTGTGTATTATTCATTTTATATATATTGTAAGGCATTCCATACGAAAAATAAAAATAAACGTCCGGAATATGTCAGCGAAATGTCCAGAATATTTCCCGTTATTATTCTTCAATGTCCGAAAAAATGTCTATTCTTTTGATTGGTATCGAAATTTGTTCGGAATTTTTCATATTGAACAAAATCCGGACTGATCAACAGGACAAATTCCGGACATTGAAAAATTTCTAAAAAAGGATAAATTAGCGTAAAAGAAAAATTGATCATTTCTAAATTTATCTACTACCTCCAACCTTCATGCATATTTTCATATTTTTGGAAAAATGCAATCTTATTGCATAAAAATGCATTATGCTTTATATATGTGTAAAGAAAAAAAATGCATTACGTGTAAAAAAAAATGCATTATACTTTGTGTAAAAAATGCATTATGCTGCTTTATGCATATGCAGAATACATATAATTTCTTTGTATTAAAGAATGAAATTGCGATTAATCATTCTATATATATTCCTGTGCCACTTTCGTTACATGTTCAGTTTACCCATCAAGAAATAGGATCTTACGCTACCCATAAATATAAAAATTTTTTAAATAAACTAGGATATGTGACTTTGAGACTTCATCCGCCAGACATAATATTTATTATTGTTACAAACATATTTATTGTTCAAAAGTAAGAAAAATTCCCATGAATTTTTCTAAGAAACTTTAATTGGAGCTTTTTTTTTACAATCATTGATAATGTATTAGTGTTTTCTGGCTGACCAGAATAAGCATAATATTTTGTATTTATAATTAAGAAAATAATAGTAAGGGATTAGCAAAAATGTTTATATTCTTTAAGTATTAAAAAGGAGGCCTTTTGCAACAATTGTTACTCATAACAAAAGCTATTGAACTTACGATAAATGATTTTAAGGAATGACGGAAGCAATAAAGCAGCGGTTTATTTTTGAAAAACAAACTAATTTTGATAGTACTTTTGTTAGTTAGCTATTTTTTTTTTTTTTTTTTTTTTTNAGTAAATAATCAAAAAAAAAAAAATTAATAATTATCATATTATTAAAAATATTATTATGAAATTTGAGTTTTAATAGATAGGACTGGGAACATTTTGCGCAATTAATAAAATGCGACGGCGACACAAAATAAAACTTAATTATTCGTTATAACATACCGAATATTCTTACAAATTTTCTTATTACGGAGTCCTTTTTCTGGACAAAAAATTCAGTATAATGCGAGCCGACTGTATAGCGATGAATCGATGATAACATGATTTAATTCCCATCTTGTGATGAATCTAATTGGTTATAAAAGTGATTATCATAGTTATAAAATGGTCAAAATTACGTTATCCTATTATTAAAAACTTGTTGAAAGATAATTAAGTTTAGTTAAGAATAAGGAATGATATTAAAATAATAACATAATCCAGTTAACGGAAACCTTCAGTTCTTTTCTTAAACATGGAGTTGATAAATTTAAATACTCATTTACAAATATATTTAAAAAGAAATTCTATCTTTAAGCGTGATAATAACACATAGTTTAACGAGCTTTATCAACATAAGTAATAATTGCAAAGAAAAGAATTTAGCAATATAATTGGATAATTTAATAAAATAAGGAGATAACTACATAAAGAAGCAAGATTTCTAACGTCTTTGATACGGAAGAATCTATAAAGTAATGACAAAAAACCACTTTACACTTTGTACATGTTTCAATTTAAGCTTAAGGATGAATATACTATTAGGACTGTCTGATATATTAAATATATAATATTATAACGACCCGAGTTTATGACTGGTTTATGCGGCTAAATTAACATATATTTTCTCTAATAGTAACTATAATTATAAGCATCCTAACCCTAACTTTATTTTAATTTCCAAAAGTTAGTCTTAAAAATTCTTTCTTTCATTTGACAAATTCATTATTTTTCAAATCTTTCATTAATTAACCTTGGTGAGTTTATCAACGTCTGCATAGTAATAACTGCAAAATAAAAGGAAGGAAATTTAGCAATATAGCATTTGAATAATCTTTAATAAAAATAGAAAGAAAATAATTACATAATATCAGGGAACCAAGTTTTCCAACGTCTTTGATGCGGAAACAAATAAAATAATTCAATTTCTCTAAGAATCTATTATAAAAAAACAAAGTTAACATTTTAGAACTAATTATATCAAGATTCATTATAATCATCATCACTAACCAATGCTTTTTGTGCTAAATAAGACGCTCGATTATTATCCGCCTCAATAGCCATATTCAGTAATCCGATGAACAAATTCATAAGGTACACAACAACAACAAATGAAAAAATTATCATCAATATTATCATTAATGGATTTTCATTCGGTGACCACGCTGATAAAGAGTTTCTATCTCCTATTAAATTATATTTTATAAATATTGTTAATAATAGATTAATGATTTTATTTTCTTTTTAGTACATTACCTGTAAGAAATAAATACATAGAAAGAAGTGAATTAGGGTAGTTAGAAAATAAATTGGTATATCCATCAGGTTCTTCAATTAGAATTGCATTTTTAATGATATTTCCATCTTCTGTCATTTGATGATATTTTTTCGTAAGCGACCAAGGATTATTAGGATCATTCAAATTTCCTTGTTCACTTTCAGAAAAATCTGATTTTGGTTCTAATAGTATAAAAAGTGCATGTGCGAATCCAAGTATAATAATAAGAATAATAAAAAGAAAAGAAATAATTCTTTTAGCAACACCTATAATAATAGCAAAATAGATTCCAAAAGATTCAAATGCTCTAAAGAAAAGTAAAAATTTTATATCAAGCAAAAGACATGAAACTGAAATAGCTTTTGTATAGTCTGCGTTATCTCCATCTACATAGCTATTAATACAGTATATAGAAGTTAAAACAGGTACAAGGTATGCACTAAGATCTATATAAATTAAATCATGAATAAGTATTATTCTTTAGAAAATGCTTTACTATTAAAAAATTTAATTACCAAACAAATTCCATATTTCAGATATCCATCTAAATGGGCTCCAAATAAATTGACGAACTTCAAATAATAAGTGAACAAATCCAAGAATAATTGAGGAAAAGAAAAGCTTTTTTCTAACTTCCTTATTAAAGATATCATAAGGGATTGATGCCAATGTAAAACATGTAAGGTAAATTATGAATAAAATCCAGATTCCAGCATAATAATATCTACCAAACACTCTCCATTTAAAATTAATAATAGCTTCACCATTCCAAGTTTTATAAAGATCATTATTTTGTGTTTGTGAAAAAGGGCTTGATTGAGGTTTGATTAATAATTCTTTAAGAAAATTATAATCTTTTGGATATGTTACATAACCGGGGAATGGAACTAAAAATGTAAGCTTTGGTTTTGTCTTTCGTTCATTAAAGATAATTTTGATAAAATAGGCACAAATAGTGAAGCATATAAAGAATATGTGAATTCCAAATTCGTCAACTAGAATACCTAATAAGTCAAGAAAGTCAAGAAAGTAACTACTAGTGTTTATTGTTAATAATAAACTATGAATAAAATAATAATTATGAATGCTAAACATTAATGATAGAAATACCAATTGAAATTTAAGTGATTCATAATATTTTATAAAGTATGTAACAATAAGAACAAAAATAATCGCGGAAATTTCGTGTTCATCTAATACAGCAATTATAATTAAGCCAAGAATGCCAATAATATATATAAGGAATACTAATATTGGGTGTGATTTATAGTATTTTCTAAGGGATATATTCATTACAATCATAATATCCACCGATTTTACTGAATTGAAACCAAAAGTTTGAGAAATACATGCCATATACATTAATTGTGTTTGTGATTTCCAATATTTCCAGGAGAATAAAATCATAATAATTCCATCTGTAAAAAAACAAAGTGTTGCAATGACATATAACATATATAACAGAAGCACTAATTGTGGACGTGATTTCCAATATTTCCTGAAGAATAGAATAATAATGGTGGTAGTGTCTAGTATGTAGTGCATGTAGTAGGGATAGTCGTAATAAAAGGAACTTTCAAAAATAATTTCATAAAGGAATAATATAACAATATAAGATAATACTAGTCGATATAATTGTGATTTCAAAAAATTTGACAACTTTGAAAATAATGTATAAAGAAAAGTCAAGATAGTAATATATAATTTATGAAGAAAATAATATATTATAAATGTATATTTAAGTATTTTTAATTCATTACAATAAGAATAAAGATGTTGGAGGTTATTATAAATCATGTTTGAATTTGTATCTGCAAACAAATTCATTTCATCATAGTATTTCGATAAGAATTCAAAATAATTTTGATTTAAATATGGCATATTCTTACATAATAGTGATAGTATATAAATATTATTTTTCGGATCTTCTTTGAAATATTCAAGAGTTTTGTTATAGATTGATTCAATTAACTCTATATTATGTTGTTTTATTGCTGATTTTAATAGGTTCTCTCCATAATAAATTAAAAAGTATCTTTGATTTATTTCATACAAGATCCATTGCTTTTTTAATCCATTATTATCTGTAGGTTGAGCTATTTCTTTAATTTCCTCGATTTTTAAAGCATCTGGTTTATTATTATTATAGAGCCTAAATGCATATTTAAGAAATTTAATATTATAACAACATTGCATTTCAATCTTATAAAATGCTGTATTGAAAATGTAAATATGTAACTCTGTCTCATCATATAAAATGTAAGTATTATTAACTTTTATGTCTTTCCAACTTTTAGAATATTTAATATTGTACGAAGATACAATTTCGTTTTGGGATGAATTATTAATAAAAGCCTCTAAAATAAATTCATTTTTTCTTAATCTCATGTCATATCCACTTTGATTTTCATTTGAGTTTACTAAATTTGGTATAACGTACTTTTCTATAAACTCAGTTTCGTCTTTTGCTGCAGTAAATTGTTTTCCTATATTATAAAAGATGTTTCCATTGATTGAATCTTTGCTTTTGTTAATTTCTTCCGAATCAATATAGTTATTATTAATTATATAATTTTCCAAATCGCACTTTTTTATATTAATCATCCATGGTTTTTCATAGAATATTCCAAATACTTTTCGATCATTAAGTCTAAATTGTATATTATTAAAATAATTAAAGTAATTAGAATTACCATTAGTTTCAAGAAAAGATTTTATCATGGTATTGTATTTTGTTGAATTTTCCAAATTTGTCCCTACAATAATTTTAATTATAAAATCCATCCTATCAGAATAAATATAATGTATGCCTTCAATACTTATAACCATTAACGGCTTAAGATATTTTAATTCTATCATTTTAGTATCTACATTTCCCTATAAATAAAGAATAAATATTATAAATATTGAGATCAAAGACAGTATCAATGTTATTATTAATTTTAGTATTAATATTAAGATTATACAATTATACATACATTTATCTTAAGCATAATTTTCCGATATTGGAATGTAAATAAATCTAATATAAATATGGCATCCTTTGATAACATCCATACCATATCATTAGTAATTCCACCAAAATTAATTTCCATTGTATCGTCGAGTTCATATGTAGATTTGCATTTCCAGATATTACCTTTAGTATTTGAAGAATAAATTAGAATAACAGGTTCCCTCCTAATCGTTTGACTCTTAAATCCTTTACTTTCAATAATATTATAAGTAATTAAATCTCCACTTGTAAGAAAATTTGTAAATTTGTAATATGGGATGTTAAATTCATATTTGTCATCTGCATATTTTTTTACACTTGAATTGAGAGTAATTTTCTTTTTATTTTTCATATCATAGATAATTGCTACAGAAAGGTAAAAATTTTTCTTATCAATAAAATAAAATTTCTTAATTACTGAAATACAATTTGAAAAATAATTTACCTAATTCATCGTTACTCTCATACATTAAAATCTTATCATCAGAGACTTTATAATCCAAAATATCTAAATCTAAATTATATGGTTGGACTTTGTCGTCAACGATAAGCGGTCCTGTATCATCATCATCATTATCATCATTAAACTCGTCGTCTTGATTGTCTTTGATATCAAAAGACAATCCAATAAACGGGTTTATATTATTCTTAATATATTCGGAACAAAAATTTTTCTTTCGGATATCTTTACAAACTTTACTACACCATCCAACAAAAGATTTGTCTTCTTGACTATATGTCATGATATATTTTGACTGTGGAGAAATTGCAATTTTAGTTATCGGCTTTCCATTGTGCGGAATTTCTTCAACTTTGACAGTATGATCCATTATACAGTAAATAATAAATGTAAATATTACTATTTAATAGGAGAAAGATTATATAAATGAACTTATTTCCACGCATTAATTTGAGCAATAAAACATTATTCGAAACTTGTTTGAAACTTTATATGAAAAAACTTTTAGATATTAGATACATTTTTGGAAATTATATCCGAATTTTTTATTACGATCCCAAAGTGTTTCGGCATTATCTATTATCCGTGACAAATATATTTCATTTTACCTGTGTGCTAAACGAAAAAAAAAGGAGCAATAAAACGGAAAGGATTATTGTACCACATTTAAATCCCATTTAAATGAATCATCTTACCACACCACCACCCCTGTGATGTTTTTGTACCATCGTCACGTGCTGACCTGTTTACGTTTTTTATTATTTTACTGGCCTGATCTCTATTTGTCACTGCATTATATATCACCTGTACTACCACATTTATAATACTATTTATATTGTGACAGGTGGTAAGATGATCTTAGTACAAATGCTACGGTAGTTTGATCACGTGTTCGTACATAACTCTGTCGCAGGGACGATGATTTTTTGCGGCGGTATAAAGTAAATTTTGTGTGTGGTAAAAGTAAATTTTGTGAAATTTTGTGATTTGGCCAGAATTATGCAAGGTTGGCCAACATTACGATTCGTAAATTCTGGCCAAATTTAGTGTCTGCCGGAATTATAATAATTTCAAATCCTAAATCAGGCCAAAAACTTGAAAATTATCAACATTTTTATAGCCAAATTTTGTGATTTTCTGTGAAATTCTGTGATCACAAAAAATCATCGTCCCTGCTCTGTCGGGCAAATTTCATCATCCGTTGGAAAATCGTGCCCGGAAAAATTCTACAGAATGTAATAGTCCTTACATTTATACTATTATTGCGTTTATAAATATACAAAAAATCCTTTTGTTATATATTTTATGTTTCTATCATGTTCATATAGCAATATCTGCTATAAAGTTTGAATCTGTGATCTCTCCGCCTACTCTTACCTGATTACGGTAATAGAATTCAATATAGAATTCTATCTCGTAATGTGGGTTTGGATCTATATCGCCAAGTACAGAGCAGAAATCCAAGGGATAAGAGATTTCCAAGCAGAATTTGCGAGCTTGACATTTGATCTCGTAAATAGATGACGATGATAACATCTTGTGATTTTTATGAATGGATCTAATTGATCATAAAAAGTGATTAAAACAAATTTTTAAAATAGGGCAAGCGTAAAAAAAGTAAATCCGTTTTTATATTCCATCTTTTTTCCGTAAAAGGCTCATATTTCCGGATTTAATAACCTTAAATATCGAATTATTTACATTTCCGTGAATGGATAAAGGCTCATTTTTATGGAGTTTTTACAGAAATATTAAACGGATAAAATTTTTTATAGTGATTTTGATCATTTTGATCATTTTATAATAAAGTTTAATTAACTCATTTAACTGAAACTTTCAGTTCTTTTCTTCTTAAAATAAAATAACATGGGGCTAATAAATTTAAAAATTCAAAATGCAGGTATAATATGGTAGATAAAAGTAAATAGTCTTTTTTTTTAAAAAAAATAAATTAGGATAATTTATTATGTGAAAATTTTAGTTTGAGCATAGAAAGAAAATTCATAGCAAAATTACTTAGATTCCGATATTATTAAATTTGGTTTTTAGAAGGCAAAATAGGGGGAAAAATAATAAATAGAATTTTCATTTTTTTTATTTGCATTTTTTTTAAATTAGTATTCTAATTTCTAAGGATAAATTTCGACATAATTATTTTTAATTTTAAATAGGAAATGCCAAAATAACATGTGATATTATGTGTTAGGGGAGGGCCAGAAATGACATCATTTCCTAAGGGGGGGAGGGGGTATCATGCCATGATGACGTTACACAATTCCTTATTAGGAAATTTCATAATTCTGGGCAACGTTAGATTAGCCATTAATTTTACTGCGCCATAGTCTTAAATGTTCAGATGACACCGTTACTTAATAATTTACTGCGCCATAACCTTAATTTTCAGTTGTTACAATCTTACCTAATAAAATTTACTGTGCCATTTTAGTGTAACAACTTTTTAGAACAACGTTGAACAAATGTTACAATTTTAGAACAATGAGCATTTCACATGTTTCTAAAATAAAAATGTTCGCCTCACTTTGCCACTTTCTTCTTCACGTCAAAATCAAACATTTCGTAAAAATGTAGTCGCGTCAGTACATTTATACTTAATATTTACAATGAAGCAAACATATTTTCAGGAACCAAAATATTCCAAAAATTACCTTATTTCGAATCCCCAAAATCTTTATGAACAGTATGTGAATGCTTTTGCATTCAGTGAAATGGTAAAGAGTCAGAGTTTGATGCCAAATAAGAAGGAACTACAATTACAAGCACAAAGTAGTTGGCGAAAAATCAAGTCAGAAAATAAAAATATTATTCAGAACTATATTTCTGAACTATTAAAGACTCCTGTTTAACCTCTTCCCTTCACTTTTTTTTCACAACAAAATTCAGTAGTTAAACCTTCAGCCCCATCTCCAAATATTATTCCTGAACCTTCTGCTAATATTCAACCTTCTAATAATGCAACAGCACAAAAGCAGTCAGATGCTAATCTTCAAAAAGCTAAAGCTGAATTGTGTGAATATGCTAATCTATCAAGAGTAACAACATCATCGGAACTTCATATACAATTTTCTTCAAAGATTAAGGATCTTGAGAAATCTATATTTTTAGAAGAAAAAACACTCAAGCGGTTAAGAGGTAATGCAGAAGCTCAGAAACGGGCTAGAAATAAAAAAAGGGAAATGTTAGAAAAGGAAAATATTGTGGAAGTGTATGATACACCTGGGCGTCCATCATTTCTAATAAATGAACCTAATCTTTTGGAGAATATGCACAATAGCATTGAGTTTGTAGCTGCAGATCATAAACGGCGTAAAGAAGTAATTAAAGTCCGAACAATTAAACATCTTCGTGAAAAAATGGAGGAGAATTATGGGATTTATATGGCAAATTCTACAACACAAAATTATTTGCAACCCCGACATTCAAATACAAAAGAAGCAAAACGGCATCATCATCCTGCACAAATACGTCTGGCAGCTGTTGGAAGAAATGAGATGAGTGATCATGTTGATGAACACTATTGCCTGGCATCAATAAAAGGCATAAAATCATTTGCATTAGCTTTCTCACAAAATGTGGTCCTGATTTCACAGGATGATAAAGCTAAGGTAATTACATTTATTTATTAATTATTTATAGCTATAAACTGATAATTAAGCTGTTTATATTAGGTTCCATTAGGAATTTCAGCAGTTGGAAAAACTTTTAAGGCTATATAAACGGTAAATTAACCTGTATCTGTGCCTGATCATGATTTCCCAAAAGGTTCTAAACATAAGCTAATACCGTTTGTCTACCTGGTGATTAATCCTGATAATACAAATGATTCCCTACGTTCTGGTAAAATGAGAATCTTTGGTTGATCTTATGACAATTACTGAAGAAGAACCCTTTCACGAATTCACACATCATGAAGGTGCAATAAAACCTATTTGGTGTTTATTAACAGATGGTGGTCCTGATTAAAACCCCCGATTTCTTGCAAATATTTTAAAATATTTGCTTATTTTTAAAAAGCTTGATCTGGATTATCTTTCAGTGAGAACACATGCACCAGGGCAGTCAGCTTATAATCCAGTGGAGAGAAGTATGGCATCTCTTTCTGGCAAATTGGCAGGCATTGTATTAAATGCTTTTAATTATGGCAACCATCTTGGCAATATGAATGGGCAAGCTAATACTGTAATTGATAAGGAGCTTGGATGTAAAAACTTTAAACATGCTGGAGAGCATCTTTGTGATCTTTGGAGTCGTGATCCTATTAATGGACAACCAGTTATTTCTACTTATATTGAAGAACATGATGATACTATATTTTCAAATGTTCAAGAAGAGGAATGGGAATGGATTGATCAGCATTCGCAAATTTGTAAATATTCTCTTGATTTACGCAAATGTGAAAATAGAAGTTGCTGTAGACCACCACGAGCTCCTGATGCTTTTGAACTGCTATCATTAAATAATGGCTTTCTTCCTCCTGTTGTGCAAGGTCAGGATAAACATTATCTCAGTTTGTTGCATACATTGGAATATTTTTGTAATCTGCTTCCTGGTTATGATGAGCATTGTCCAAGCATTCCATCTGAATTATATCATGAACTAGTATGTCAAAAATGTGGTAAGTATTTTCCAACAAAAGCATTTATGAAAAAACATGCCAAAGTTATGCATTCAAATAGAAAGGAGAGTGGGGTGCAGGGAATACAAAAAGATAGCCAATCTGCAATTTTGGAAAAAGGTCATGATATAGCAGAGGAATTAACATACAATGCAGATCAATCTAAAAATGATGGAACTGCAATAGTAAAAAATAGTAGGCAAATCAATAGAAAACAAAGTTGTAACAATGGGCATGTAAATGGTGATGTTAAGAATTTACGTCCTTGGAAATTAAGATCATCTAACGTTTCAGATTAATTTCATAACATGTAATTCTATAGCATAAAGTATAATAAATCTTGAATAAATGTTAATTGAATTAATTAAAAAAAGAAAAAAATCGTTTATAAAGTCATTTTTAAATTTTATTAAAATTTTTATCATTTAATTATTGATCGAACATATTAAAATAATTGATCACGTGATTAGTTGCACAATTTCTATAAATAGAATTGATGACAAGGGGAGGGGGGGGGCAAAATCTCCAAAAATAAAATGACGTCATTTCTGGCCCTCCCCTTATTCATACTACCATTATTTCAACACAAAATTCTACAGACTACAGTAATTTACCGGATTTTTTTTTTTAATGCTTGATGGCCAAATATTATAGTTTTTAAATATCAAAAATAAATATTTAAATAGTTTTAAAATATAAAAAAAAATTCTAAATGTAAAGCATAACAACTTTTTATAATTATATTACATATTAATTATACAGGGAGTTTCTTTGAATAAATAATTCTCTTAATGAAACGTTATTTAAATAACTTTTGGAATTTCAATATAAAATATATCTTTAATTATATTTTTAAAAGCTATAATTGGTTAGTTTTTAAATAAAAAAAAATTGATTACAATATATTAAATTTTGGCAAACTTTTATATATATTAAAAAATGCTAATTTTACTATAAATTACTAAGTAATTTTAAAAAATCCGGTAAATTACTGTAGGCCTCTGTAGTTAATTTAATTAATCCCCTGTCGCACTAAGTGTCACCTTCATACTAATTTTTAAAAATTGCGAGTGATTAGCTGAGCTTATAAATAACCGTGAGTCTTCGTTTACTTATTTCCCGGCCTCATATTGATAGCCGGGACATTACTAATTTTGGTTTAAAATAGTTAAGTTTAAAATAGTTAATATTTAATAAGTGACACGCTCCAGGGGATTGCCCATTTTATTTCATGGGAGGGGAAACATTAGGGTTTTTCCCGAAGGGAAAATAATCCTATTATTCCCAACTCCTCATGAAATAAATAATACTAATTCACAAAAATTGATATCCAAAACCTTCATTGAAGTGCAGGAAAAAAATACTACCTATGATTGGAAAATTTTAAAGTCTGTGCAAGTGATGATTATTTGACTTAGGCCAAAAGATCAATGAAACTCGGATGACAAAATCCGGACAGAATTTGAACTAGGTTAAATTTCAAACATAAATGAATATCCAGAAAATGTTCCAAAGCGTCCGGATACTCAGTTTTGTCACGAATTATATTCCAGACAATTTTAAAGCATCTTCTGGACACGTTTTTTTCGTAGGAATTAAAACATTTTGGTGGTAAAAAATAATTAAAATGGTAAGATAGGATTTTAAAAAGGAGATTCAAAAAAAGAAAATTTTGTTATCATGTCTTCGATAATCTCATCCTCCGCTTTATAATGATACTTATACGATATACTGTATTGACCAATACATTGAAAAATAGGTTATTATGTCTCACTCATACAATATTTAAAATATTTATTATTTATCACTAAAGAGATTTTATCTTAAACTAAACATTGAAATATTAAAATTAATCTCAATCACAAATTATAACGTAAGGGAAATTATAAAAACATCATTGTTATAAGAAATATTAATAGAGGAGTTATTTTTTATTATTAGTGATTGCAATATTGTTACTCAAGAACTAAATGGTGTTCGAGTTTCCAAACTATTATTAAGAATATCAATTGCACGTTATACAGGTAGTCGCGCATTAATTATTTTAGAAAAAAAAATTTCTTAAAATCGATTGAATAGTTAAAATAAAGTATAAAAGGTCGTTCAATTTCTAAGATCGTCAAAAACTTGAGATAGGATTAAAGTTTATAAAACATTTTTACATGAAAAAAAAATATGAACTGGTAAAGCATTTTTCGAGAATATTAGTTTTCATTCGTTATTTACTAGTACAAGTTCTTGTCATGTTGTGTAAGGTAATACACGTACGGATATACGGTTGCAATAAAACGTGAACTTTCCGGATTGGTCGATTGGCTGTATTTCAATAATGCATTTTTGCACTTCATTGTAAGTTTATGCTCATTAGCCATTCTTTGCCAAATTACCCTAGTAAATACATATCATAAACCTAAATAGCTCGTTTTCTAGAAGACGATATGGAAAATATGAAAGATGGTATAGAAAATATAAAAATTACAAAAAATGATACAAGTGAAAGATGCCCAGAATGTGGTCAAGAATTTATCAATAAAATTTTATCTTATTGTAAGCCATGTTATTCGGCACATTTCCGTAATAACTTTACTTACTGGACCAGTGGTAATTTAAATATTGATGAACTAATTCAAAATTCACAACTCAACGCGAATGATAAATATGAATTAATTGAATGGATTGAATATTCAAATTTTAAAGATGTTGAATTTGTTGCTAATGGTGGGTTTGGGAGTGTTTATAAAGCCATCTGGCAAGATGGTCCAATTGAAGAACCCTTTTGGAATATCAAAAAATCTGAATGGAATCGTAATAGCTTCAAGGAAGTGGCAATAAAAAAATTCCGAAATGCAACAAGTGTTAGCTTGGAGTTTTTAAAGGAGGTAAAAGATCTAATTACTCTTTGTTATTAAAAAGAATACTCACATAATCTAATATTTTATTGCAGGTTAGGAGTAACTTAATGTTAAATTACTCAACACATTGTAATGGAATTTATGGAGTGACTTGTGATCCTCAAAACGGAGAATATGCAATTGTCGCTAAATTCCAAAATGATGGCAATCTGAGGGAAATGATTAAAAAAAACTACAGTATCCTGAATTGGAGAGTGATTATTAAAATCCTTCATAATATCAGCAATGGATTATATATTGTTCATAATAAAAATTATCTCCACAGAGATCTCCACAGTGGTAATATTTTAAATAAATTGAAAAATGATCCTAATCTTAGTATCTCAGTGATTTCGGATTTTGGTTTATGTTGTCCCGCAAATCAAAGTTCTGAAGATAAGCCATTATATGGTGTCTTACCGTTTGTTGCTCCAGAAGTTTTACGTGGTGGGGAGTTTACCAATGCAGCAGACATTTATGGGTTTGGGATGCTAATGTCAGAAATAATCAATGGCAACGCACCTTTTGTTGATAGAGATTATGACTTGCACTTAGCACTAGATATTTGTGGAGGAGAGCGTCCATTAATTCCAGAATATACACCTGAGCCATATGCAGCCTTGATGAAATGTTGCTGGGATCCTATTCCTACCAATCGTCCATCAGCTAATGAATTGCTTGTGCAAACTGGAAACTGGGAAAAAATTATATGTAAATTCGAGTTCAGAGATAGTCAATTGACAGAAGAATTTAGCCAGGAACGGGAGGACATATGGAAAGCACGATTAGCAGAATTGGCTATAAATCCACATCCTTTGAAAATATCACAAAACATGCTTACTAGTAAACGACTTTATTATTCTAAACAGCTCACACAATTACTTGAAACCAAGGATGTTGAAATGAAAACAAATGGTAATAGTACATTATATGCTTTATATCTTTGATTGATAAAATCTGTAATCTAACATATTATACTACTAATAGTATATCACACTCGGCAATTCGATATGTCTCTATAGAAGGATTAGGTAATGATGTGTGGTTTACACTTTTGGTATAATTTATTTGAGCTTTAAACTTTTATGATTGTGATTTCAGTTTACAATTATACTATTAGAGTATTTTAAATAAACAAATCCTGTAAACTTTAATTTAATAAACAAAGTTAAATATAAAACTAGATTTGAAATTAATTAAATCACTTGTAGTATAAGATAGTGGATATGATGCTATATCTATCAATAAACACTTTGTATAGTTTCGTAAAACAATATTTTATTATCTAAAAATTTGCGATTTATAATGTGTTATTGTTAAATACTATTACATTTTTCATAATTTGACTTCGAGAAAATTTCATGTCGGGATTACATTTCCAACATACTTTTCTATTACATAATATGACATACTGTATATATATTTCTTTACAAAACTAATAAGGTATATAATATTCAGATAATCAGATTTATTAATCTATTCAATAAAACACAAACTTTTAAAATAACAAGTTAACAGCGTATTTATAATTAAAATTTCAGCATACAAATATTTGGTGAAAAGATTTTTATATATTTAATGATCAATAAAAAATATAAATTTCGCTCCGGACCGTAACAGTTTCCGTTTCCTAGTGTAAGTTTCGTTTATTAAATTTGATAAAATTTCAAGAAATTGACAAAACTAATTCTAAGAAAATTCTAAATAATAAGTTTAATGAAATAAGATAACCAATTAAAAGAATAGCTTTCTATTTCTAATTTCCCAAAGAGAAACCAACCAAAATAATAATTTTAAAAGAATATTTCATATAAATTATCGTATGTTCTTACTGCCCACTATGTAGATCATTTTCAAGGGTCTGCGCCCGTGATAAATCACGTTGTCACCGCAGCCTTAACTGTATTAATAACAAAGATAATAATGCTTGGTTTAATATAGTAATTAGAAATGTAAATCCCTAATAATTTCTATGTTGAATTGTTGATGTCCTTTCTTAAAATACGAAATTGCTCCTATTTATAATTTCTGTCGATCATTGATTTTTCTTCAAAAAAAAAAAATTTCTAAGTTCAAAATAAATTTCAATTTCTCCTTTTTGAAATTTTCCAATTTTAACTCCGACGCATTTTGATCTTAATAACCTTTTTCTTGAAATAATTAAATATCGTTTTCTACTTTTCATAAATATTAACTTCCAAAATCCTCAATTTTTGATTCTTCAATCCTTTCTTATTAAAGTAATATCCCGCACTTAATTCCTAATTTCCTATTCCCAAATCTAAAAATAAAACACAACACTAGGTAAGTCACGGCATTTCAGTGTTCTACTATTTACGTCATCAATTACCCGATCCCCTAAAATACTTAACCAATGAAAAATTAATAATAACCAATAAAAGTCAACGAATAGTTGAACGTCATTACGGACGCAATACATTTAAAACACCAAATTTTTATACACTTTTAAAAACTAAATAATACTGCGCCCTCAAAATTAATAATTTCACTAGGTAATTTCGGCCTCTACAATACCAATTCGGCATTACACCGGCGTAATACTGGTGTAATGCTATTTTCATATGAATCTTTGAACAAAAATTTGGTGTAATATATTTCACTATTACGCCACCTTTATGCCGAATTATCTGAAATAATTACACCCACATGTATAGATCAATTTTATATAAAACTATTTCTGTTTAGTTTAAAAAAACTATATCTCTTCTTATTTCCTTCATTGTAAAAATTTTGTTTACCATTCACTTTCATTATTTTACCGAATATGATCTTGTACGTAACCACGTATTTCTTTTCTATCTCTAAGAATTAGTAGTCCTGTTCTTTTTCTTTATTTGAGTTCCTTGTTTGCTTGCCATTTATATTTACTTCTAATTTCTGATAACTTCATAGTACTCAGAAACCATCTTAAATAATAACACTTGTTCTTGAAAAGTATCGCCATTACTCATTTATCACCTTTTTTAATAATACATTCTTCTAAGTCGTGAAAGAATGTATCTCCACTCTTATTGTTTGATATTGTTTTTAATTCGTAAACGCTTAACGTATCCTAATGTTTCAAAGCTTCAATAACATCATTCAACGTAAAAATAATATGTCACGTGATTCTTTGCTGTACAGCTTTGGAATATTGGTAATCTTTTTATCCGATTTCCCGATTTCAAAGTTGATCCTTGTAACACATTACTTAGAAGAGAATAGATCATTTCCAAATTTATTCACTTTTTCGCCCAACTGGATGTTGTTATATGTTGTTAAACATAGTATATGCAAACAATTTCGTAATAGCATGATTGATTTAGAAAATTCAAATCATGAAAAAAAAACGCCATATGTATTATGTTCGTTAAAAAAAAAAAAATGCAGTAAATTTATAACATATCATGATATGATTTTACATATAAAAATTCTATAATATGTATGATTTATTGTGATTAAATAATTCTATTTCTAAATGAAAAAAAGTGATTACATTAATGAAAAAAAGGAAGGGCTTGATTGTGCTATACAAATGAATGCGTTTCAGGTATCTGACGAACATATATGATTTCAATTATACAAGTGGAGTATTGTTATATTATTATATTATTATTATTCTTTGCTTCTCCTACTATTTCTACGTAATGAATAATAAGCAAGAACACGTGCTACAATACAGAAACCTAATAATATTATTAGGTTAACGTACCAAGGTAAATCATTTAATCCTTCACTATCTATTATAGAAATACCGGAAATACTTGTCAATGGAGCATCATCTCCTGTATCACAGATACTTAATTCTCCAGCAGGTAATTCTCCTGGTCTAGCACATCTAAATTGAGCTTTCGGTGAATCAAATTGAATTTGTAAAAGCAAAGAATACGAGTATTTTACGAATGACTATTAATAAAGATAGAGAATTGTTAATATTATTATTGGTTTGAAAAAAAAAATTCTATGATCAATAAGATTTATCGCGACTACTTACAAGATATTTTAACCAAGTTAAGCCAAATGGTAAATGTTTTATATAAAATCCACCTAATAACATAGATGCAAGTATAAATACCAAACTAACAGCTATATTCGATAAGAAAAAAAATTTTGTTAATTAGACATATATTACAAAATTATAAGATTAAAATATTTAAAATAATAAATAATACTTACATATACTTTTATGTACGTTCAATACAGTGGCACCAAATAAATAACCGAAACTTTGAGAAGTTAAGGTAGTAAGTAAAATTACTATTAAATAGGCTACAAATCTACCAAAATCTGGTAATAAATTTGTTGCCCAATATACTGGGATAGTATATAATGTAGGATTAAATATGATTAAAGGTAATTCGGCGATTTGTTTGGATAAGTAATATGATAGTAAACGATAAGATCGTGATTGACGTTCTTTCGATAACATGACTAAATCCAACGGGAAAGATGATACGGAACCAATCATTGCGTTGAACGCCCAAAATACACCACAGAAGAAAATCTATAATAAAAAATCAAAAGAAATTTAGAATAAATGAAGTTAAAAAAATTTGTTAATAAAAAAAAAAAAAGAATTTTATATTATCTATACTCACATTTCCGACACGATCATTTATGTTAACTTCAGAGAAAGGAATTTGAAGCCAAACTAAGAGACAAACTATAGTCAAAGCAATAGTTTGAAATATATTAACTTTTGATAACATAATTTTTCTACTCTGTTTAAAGGTTCTTTCGGTAAGAATCGAGACTTGTTGTAAAAATGTAGCTTCCCAACGGCGTTCACTTGTAACTGGTGCATCTAATATGGTATTACTTAATTGATTATCAGTACGCGTTCTACGAGAATGCTTTTCGACTACTTGTTTTCCAGTTGGATCATCGCGAACGTCATGTGCATATGCATTTATTAAATTTTGTTTGATTGTATTATCGTTCAAAAGTTCCACTATAATGAAAGGAAAAACGTTATAACGTTATATTTATTTAAATTTAAAAATATAATTAATTATAATAAAAAAAAAATAATACATACGTATATAATCAGCAGGATTGAAATTAGGGTGACATTTATATCCTTGATCAGCAAGGTAATCTACGACACCAGCTCTTTCACCAAAATAGACCATATGTCCATCAGCCATTAACATTAATTTATCGAAAGATTCAAATACTTGAGATGAAGGTTGGTGAATAACCATAATAATGGTTTTCCTTTGCTTAACAGCGAATTCTTTGAGAATTTTTGTAAGCTCAAGAGCCAATGAAGAATCTGATAATGAAATTAGAGTAAGAAATTAATAAAAAAAAAAATGAAGCGAATATTTCGAATATTTCAAAATTATCATTTGATTACTTACCCAAACCAGATGTTGGTTCGTCTAGTAAAATGACACTTGGATCTGTTAACAGTTCAGATGCAATATTGGCTCGTTTTCTTTCTCCTCCCGATACACCGCGAATTCTTTGGTCTCCTATTATCGTATCGGCACATTTCGTCAAATTTAATAATGCCATAGTATTTTCGACTTGTTTTAATTTTTCACGTCGTGACAATTCACGTGGAAGACGTAATCGAGCCTATTAAATTCATGAAATTAAAAAATATAAAAAGTAAGGAATGATGACGCAGCATTTCAGTTTTGCGCAGTAAAAGTTTTGGTGACGTTACTTACAGTGTAACTGAGGGTTTCTTTTACGGTTAAATGAGGGAAAAAGATATCATCTTGAGTACAATAAGCAATAAATCTCTTTGATTTTTTTGTCATTTTATGACCATTTAGAGCTATGGTTCCTTGAACTCCTTTACTTCCAACGCGATCGCCAAGAAGATTTAACAAAGTGGTTTTACCGCAACCAGAAGGTCCCATAATCGCAAGAACCTCACCTTTTAAATTTATTTTTAAATTGAAATGATTAATTACATAAGATTATTTTTTTTAAAAAAAATATATATATACAAAATTCATAAATTAATTACCTGGATTAGCACAACCATGAATATTTTCTATTATATTTCGTACATGTTTACCGGATTCTAATTTAGAATCGGTTTTATTCCACCAGGATGATTTATGTTCTTCGGATATAGAATAATTTACTCCATGCCATTCTACGTAAACAGGATTTTTCGCGGATG